TCTGAGTTCCTTACAAGTCCAAAGCCAATGGGCGCCATCCCCTTTGTACACATGACGAAAGGAAGGCTCCGGAGAGTGGGTAAAAAAAAGGAAAATGCAGGTATTTTAACCTGAATCTTGCTCAGTCTCCTCTTTGTATGGTTGTATACTGACAAAGCAGGCTTGTCACAATAGAAGACACTTAAGATTATAGAGAAAACTCAATATCCTAAGAAAGAAATAAAATATAAGTCATAGTGACTGGTAATGATTGTGACTGAATAGTAAGGAACATGGAGTAGGTAAAAGAAGCTTTCAGAAGGAAGATCTGAAGAATGAGGAAAGAACCCCACAATTCTAGTGTTACAATAGACAATAAATAAAGAAAGGTCAATGTCTCACAAGGAAGCTGTTGGTAGAATATCAAGTGGAAAATATATCAGCCTAGGGCCTGATATTTTTGATAACCTTCAACAAAGGCTGGTCCAAGACTATGAAGGGCCGTCAGTGCTCCCAGGGGGGAGAATATTTTAAAGTTGCCATTTCTGACTTGGGAAAGGAATCCTGTGCAACTAATGCTGCACTCCTATTTTGTGAATTGAACCAACAGCCAGGTAGAAGGGAGGAAAGAGACTGAAGTGACACTGACTGGCTGCAGTGGAGGTAGTGAGGACTACAGAAGCCATGTAAACGTGCCTGGGAAGGAGCTGAATACCTCTGGCAGCCAAGCATGAAGATAAGGTCTCTGTTGTGTAGCTACAGAAGTAAGTAGCTGAGGGAATAACTGTTCTATTAACTGGAATTATGTCAACAGAACTGGTAAAAGATCATTCCAGAAGTCCATCCCTTCAGCAGAAGCCCTACTCTCTCACCTTTTCCCATTGATCAGAACCTACAGGGGCTCTCAGAACCAAAATCTTTCCACCTTTCCAAATGGTCTCTTTTTGTGCAGCCTCATTAGTCACACGTTTTCAAGAGAAGGTGCTAAAGAGAGGTGGAGGGTTAGAATGGGTTCAACAGACAGCTTGTTGAAAGGAGGTCCATCAGGTAGAGGCAGCATTCATGTTGCAATGATGTTACCGTTTCCTCTTTATGATGGAGTCATTTGAGGTTGGAAGAGGATTCTCAACAAGACTGGCTAAGGTAGAGAAGTTATAATGCCAGGCTGAAAGTCAGGAGATGTGCCTTAAAGAGCACAGGAGATATGCATGTTTTGAGAGAAAAAATATATATACTTAGCAGTACAATTTACATGATAATCACAGAGGTGGGGATATTTATGTGGTATGTGTCCAGGGATAGCATGCCCTAGCTATTCTACAGTGGAGGTTTGGAAATGAAGATGATACAGTACTGGACTTAGGGACTTTAAAGGCAAGTGAAACAATTTCTGGTTTTGCATGATGTACTCCACAAAGAGGGAGCCATTGCTCTTTCTGCTTATGCCTTGGAGATGTGCATTCGTAAGTGGCAGGAGGAAAGGTTGATGTGCTCAGAATGGGAGACTTTTGGAAAAAAAACTATTTCTATCTTTTTCAGGCATCTTAAAAGCAAGTTATCTTTCTCTCATCTCTCTGGTTTTTCATTGAACTTCTTGAATTCTTACAATAATGAATATGCAGATTTGAAGAGACTTTGTTAAATAATGCCAGGAAATATAGGTAAATTACAAGAGTAAATGTTTATTTTATTTTTAATCTACAGTTAAGTTTTATCACCATGGTTTTATTTTAATGTAACTTGTTATAAGAAGCTTGAGTTGGACCTTTTGTTTTATATTGTTTTTATTATTTCATAAATTTTTTTATTTTCAGTTTATTATTTTGTATCCCAAGTGTGCCCCCTCTTTTCTCTCCTCCAAGTCTCCTCTTTCCATCCTTCCTCTTTCCCCTCTCTTTTTTCCCCCAGAAAAGGGGAGCTCCCCCATATCAACATTCCCCAGCACATCAAGTCATCAGGACTGAGCATATCGTCATCCCTTGAGGCCAAGCAAGACATCCCTGCCAGGGGCAAGTGATCCAGAAGCAAGTAATAGAATCCATGTTAGAAATAGAGCCCCACCTCTAATTTCCAGGCAACCCATGTGAAGACCAAGTAGCCCATTGGCTACATGTGTGTAGGAGTCCTAGGTCCAGATCATGTATGCTCCTTAGTTGATGTCTCAGTCTCTAAAAGCTCCCATGGGACTGTGTCGGTTGTCTCTGTTGGTCTTCTTGTGAGGTTCCTGTCCCCTCCAGGTCTTTTCAACTTTCCCCCAACACTTCCACAAGACCCTAGAGCTTCGCCCCATGCTTGGCTCAAGTCCCAGCTGTGTCTCAATCCACTGCTGGCTGGGGCCTCACAGACTACAGTCAAGTTAGGTTCCTGTCTACAAGTACAGCAGAGTATCATTATTAGTGTCAGGGGATAGCTTTCTACCATGGGGTAGGTCTCATGTTGGGCCAATTATTGGTGTATTCATTCATTTACATAAGATAATAAACATTAAATTTCTTACCTTCACCTATAGAATAAGAGCTGAGCCAGCTACAATATTGCAGAGTTGAGTGGTGAATAGTGGGGTAGGGTCATTTCCATTGCTTTCAGTCCCCAAGAATCAGCCTTCATATTTCAGTTTTGGAAAACTTTATGTGTCTTAATGTGCAGTCCATGGTGAGGACAGGGACAGTCAATGCCTTAGCATTTTAACCATGCTTATTTATAGCTGCTATATGGAGAGGTTTTAGTATAATTGGTTGGCTTCCATTATTGTACATGAGGCTCACTTTCAGGAATTATTTAATGGAGTAGTAGTCAGGCAGGGATAATCGAAAGATATGTCATCTTTTAGATATTTTAATAAATTTAGATGCTTAAAATTAATATTTGATAAAGCTAGAGAGATGGTTCAGTGGATAAGAGTAGTTGGTGCTCTTGCAGAGTATCCTAGTTCAATTCTAAGCACAAAAATGGTGTTCACAACCATCCATAATTCTAGTTCCAGTTCTATGACATTTTCTTCTGACTTTTGCTGGGCACCAGGCATACATGTAGTACATATATATGCAAATCTTCATAAAAATGAAATAGTTTATAACAATCTTTTAATGTTTCTGCTGCTTATTTGTCATAGATGAGAAAACCATTGAAGGAATGAACACTTAAATGAATTTGATTAGAAATTTGTATTATAAATTTGTATGTTCACATTGTGGAGTTAGAATTATCTGCATATGAGCACTTTAATCCCTAACAAGTTTTACTCTCATTGAAAAATATGGCTATTCATGTATTTCTCCACTGAGTTAGCTGTAAAGAAAATATATCTTTGTATATTTTCTAGTTTCTTATCCCAAAGAGAATGTGAGAGAGGTTACTATAGTGCTTGGAATGGAGTGTGTGTGTGTGTGTGTGTGTGTATGTGTGTGTGTGTGTGTGTGTGTGTGTGTGTGTGTGTGTGTGTGTGTGTACAGACTGTTGGGAGGAACACCTGATGCGGCCTAAGAGTGCTCAAAAAAAAAATAAGTTCTTATGGTTTTATTTGAAAAGTCAGTTTGCTAAAACTGTGGTCCTTTATCTGTAAGTTACCATAGTTGAGCTACAGTGTTAGCTGAGGTCTGTGGGAAGTGATTTTGGTCATGGGGAGTAGGTAATAGTAGAGTCATACCCTTGAGTGGGAATGTGAGTGGGAGAAGAGGAGAGAAGTGACAGGCTTTGCTGCCTCTTGACATAGCTTCTGAAGTGGCTCAAGGCCAGCCACTGGAGACAGAGGGAGACACACACTGTACACTCCCCTGCCTTCCTGACAGAGGCCACAGCTATTTTTTGACAGTGAGTTGCTTAAGTAGGCAACTTTCTTGAGATGGAATCACTGAGATGTAAAGAATAATGGACTCAGGTGGGAAGAGTTTTGAGTGAACCTATGTTGGTATTTGCAACAATGATAAATATCTATTTATCAGGGTAAACAAGCAAAGTAATGGAACAGTACTCAATACCATGCATGCATCCACCTGCTCAAGTATCACCCACTGCTTAGGTGATTCACTTGTACGTCTCCACCTTTCCCATGCATTCCAAAGGAGGGCATTTTGCCATTTGTTAAGTCTTGTGCTCCAAGGAAGAACCAACATAATACAGCAATGGTCTCTCTATTCCCTTCCTTCTATCTCTCTTTTCTTCATATAGCATTCAAAGGACAATTGCCATTCATGTTGTACTTCTAATTTTATATGTATAATAGTTAGTTAGTTATGGCTGCAATACAATACCTGAAATAATTCATGTAAAGAAAGCAGGGTTTATTTTAGTACATGGTTTGGGGGATACAGCCTATGCCATCCTAATGACTCTCCTCCTCCAGCCAAGCTCCATTTTTAAGAGTTCCATAGCTCTTAAAAATCATCTGTTGGGGACTAAGTATTTAAATACATGTGGGGCTCCCGACACACTCAAACTACTTCACATTAGAAATAATGTGCTAGTTTTGTTAACATTTATAATGTGGCAGACATTTTACACAATTATTGCAAATACTTATAAAACTAGTAAAACAGACACTATACCCCATTTTACATAACTGAAAAACTGAGGCTTACAGACAGAGTGCTGGTAAATACAGAGCTATCTAGGATTTAAACAAAATTTACAAAATGGTTCTAACAAGTATCAAAGTGAATTTTCTTTTCTAAAATAATGTTAATAGTATAACAAAGTTTATGAGACAGTTATGTATATAAACTTGCAAGGCAATTGTTATCTACTGAAGAAAAACTGTCTGTGGGAAACTGAAGATCAGAAACTCTAAGTAGGTGGTTAGTATTATGTAATCACGTAACAGACTCTAAATTTGAACCTATCTGATCTGGTCACAAAGACTTTTACCCCATGACTGGCAATACCTATTGGAATTTGTGAACACAGAATTACACACTGGACAAAACCAAGGTGGAAAGGTAAGGGCAGTGTGATGAAGTAAAGCTGAGGGTAACTTTAAGCCGGGGATTATGGCAAGTCTGACTTTTTGTTTCTTTCCTTTCTAGGTGACAGCTTCCTCTGCTGCCAGCTGCAAGTCTCCCAGTATGAGTTCCACAGAAGCTAAGGTAAAGAACCTGTGAAAGGCAACCTGAATGAATGCCACTGTAGGTTGCTATGGACACAGATGTGTTCCTTAGCTTAGGAAGTACACATTCTGGAAGTCGACATCGTCTTCCTGAGTTGGAAGCTTGTGTGAATTCTCCTCTTAAGAGGTTTCTGTTCTTTGAGACTCTCTCAAAAGAATCACTGCTGGAATTTTTTGCCCTTGATTACATTTTTGAAAAAAAAGGGAGATAATTTCTCTGAGTATATTTCTCTGGAACTGAGTAAATAGGGATTCTAGCTTTTTGGTAACAGTTGTAACATATTTGGAGACATTTAGAAGTGAAAAATCTGACACTAAATAACCACTGAAACAAAAGAAAAGGGTACTGGTTATTTCAGATGCTTTCTGATACATGGGTTGTAGAGTAGAGTACCTTCTCTTTGACAAATTTCTTTCAACTCTGTTGATTACTTATTCTTGTATTTATTCATTTAGTTCCAGAAGAATAAAAGGAGTGTGAGTGCTTCATGGGGTAAACCTCGCTCTAACACATGACTGAAACTGTCTAAACATCTCTACCATAGTTACTGCAACTCAACCTGTTTCTTAGAAACATTTGCAAGTTGTTAGTGTATTCCAATAATTGATTGTGTTAAGAGCTTCTGGCTCTTCGCTTTATCAATTTGCTTAATCTACAATTTCCAGCTTATGTTTGCTTTTTGTCTCCCATGTCACTGTGTGGTCTCAGTCGTTTCCTATTCCTGGGAATGTGGCAGCATAAGTTACTACCTGGGATTCTCTTACCTCATCTTGAATTAGAACAGTGCAAATACCTGGGAGCAAACTGTCCATTTACCTAAATTTTATAAAGTTTTGCTTTAAAATTTATTTTAAATTAATTTTTTAATTTGAATTTATACACAAATATACATATATGTTTGTACTGCTGGGGACTGAACATAGGACCTTGAGGCTTCATGTGTACTAAGCAACTAAGTACTATACCTCTGAGGTCTGTCCCTAGCCACCTCACTCTATCTTGTTATTGAAAGATTATGTAAAACAAATGCAAAATAAAATCTCAGTGGGCTGTTTCTATTGTTCTGGTTCATGTAGCTGTTGCCTGGGTCTGATCCCATGTTTTAGCCTGAGGGCCAGTGCTTATTTCCATGTTCCATGGTTTCCAGAGCAAGTGTCAGCAATCCTCAGGCATCACAAAGCACCAGTCATAAGAATTCCTGGCAATCAAAACAAACAAGCAAAACTTTAGAAGGAGGAAGGAAGCTAGGAAATGAGAAGTGGGGCACAAAAGTGAGACACATGAAGAAATATTACCATTGACTGATGTAAACCATTTTTGTTCTCTACTCTTTTTCTTTGGTGTATTTCAATCCCAGAGCTCCATTGTTGTGTCTTCATTACTTCTGCTGTTTCTCATGACTACACAGTGCTTATTATAATAACCTCCTCTGGAGATGTCAGGAGCTTGAGCTGCATTGGTCCGTGTCTGCAAATATTTGGACCTTTTAGTGAAAAGATGGTAATTCAGGGAAATAGAGATTAAAAACCCTTTCCTTGTTTACATTTTTCAAGTAGGCCTGACTGTATATGAAGTGGATTATATGTCTGTATCTGTGTTCATATATCTTAACCTTGAACATTAGAATTGGTTTTCCTTGGTTGTAGAATGGATAGTCAGATAAGCTGTAGTCATGATGTAATTTCTGAGAATTTGTGCATCTGGAACTGGAGCCAGACAGCATAGCTGAGAGTGCCATTTCTTTACCATCTGTGGTACTGGGCATCTCCTCTTTGCTTCAGTTTCCTTATCTGTACAATGTGAAGAAAAACGATAATGATGCCGATTTCAGAAGACGGCATAAAGAAACAAACAGTGACCCATGCCTGTCGGTAGCAAATGCCCACTGCACGTCAACTGCTGGCCAGTAGAGAGACCATGCAACCCCAGAACTGAATATACAACTCCATCTCCATCACACACTCTTTTGGGAACTTAGTTGACTTTGTAGATCTTGAATTATTTACTGAGAGGAGGTATAATAATATTATTGTCCCCAAGAATCATGATACTTAACAAGTGAGCCGCTAACAGAGCTTAAGAAAAGCTCTGGTATCTGTGAGCTGCTGGAAAAGCCCTCAGGCACTGTGTGTCCTATTAGTGTTATGTTTGGTACCATTACTACCAAAAATAATTTTTGTGATTATTATATTATTATATTATTATAATTATTATATTAATAGCTGCTTGCATCTGAATACTCCATCTTAATTGTAGTTTAAATATTTCCCAAGAAATATCTTGATTACCAAACTGTCAAATTGAAAGTTTAATAAATTCAAACTATGATACTATTAGTTGGCTTATCTCCTTTGTAACTTATTTAATACATTACATTTGTGGAAACTAAAAGAAGATTCACAAACAGAAGAACACAAACTAAAATTCATCAGCAAAAACAGTGTGAAAGAATCCCAAATTTCTATAAAAAACATTTGATAATGAGCTTTGATTCTTTTTCTCCCAAACAATGGAATAGTGGAATAACTGGGAGGAATTTCATGAAGCTGATTTTACCTTCATCAAAAAAGCATCAGGCATGATCAATTAAAAGAATATTTGATTAAGCTTCTTCAAATAACAAAAGAGTGTTAAAAAAAAAAAAGCTGCAAAAAAGTAGCAGCTTTGTTGACATCATCAAGCATCCAAGAGAGGAAAAGTAGCAAGAGGCACTAAGTCTGCTTTATGATCAATTATCTTGGAAAGTTTATGGAGCATGAATCAAGTTTTGTGCTGATTTCTGTGTTGCCTCTCCATCAATGTTGGCTGATGCATTCATAGAGGTTTTTGCTGTTTGTATATTCGGACAGGTCACCTTTCGCTGGTAAAAGGTCTGGTAAAACATTGCACCAAAGGTCCTTCAGAAGCATGCTTAGAACTTTAGAATGCAATTCTACATTTAAGAATATAACATATAATTTACAAAATTGTATTTAAAACTAGGGATAGAATTTCAGAAAGCTTATAATTAACAGTTGTGACTTTTTTGTTTGTGTTCATTGGATCATAGTCAAACACTAGATAAAAAACAAGATTGTAATAGTTTTAACATAAAAAAGAACCTTTAAAATTAATTTTATAAATGGAAATCCTCATGAAAAAATTAGACCAGAGCTGAAAGACTTGCTGGGTACCCTATTGTTTATGTTCCTAAATCTTCATGGAGTTATGTTTGTTAGGTTTGAAGAATAGGTCTTGATATGAACATTTTGGCCCATTATATAGCTTGTCAGATAAAAATGAAATTACTCTGGGGCTTATGCTCTTATATTAGGTCCTTGCAGTCAGCAAACAGATGGAAGGACCACATCCACCTGACAAGAAAAGGCACAGAAAACAGGTGATATGGTTTATTGTGCCCAGCAGTTCTGTCTACTAGTCACTTCAGCCTCTCAGCACGTGCTATAATTCCAGTCTATATCTTCTGTAATGGCATGACTCCATCACAGACTCCTTCTAGGCTTAACTGTCAAGCACACCCTGGCACTAAAAAAACCTCCACTCTCTGTACCTCGGCTCTGCCACTGCCCAATTATTTCACACTTTGACAGCCATAGTTAGTATTTCATTATTTAAAAAAAGTTATGTTAGGGACTTGGTGGGATAAAGCCTTGGATTTGAAGGGAGGAAGACTTGCATCTAATGTTGCTGGTATTATAAGTAAAACTCTTTGTGTATGCTTGATCCACACAGCAAGAAACAGAATGTTACCTGCCATACGGCTAGTAATATCTGAACTGTGTGATCAACTTAAGTCAAAACTTTATATTGATAATACCAAAATCATTTAGTTGAAGAAAATCTATTACAATCTTACTAAACTATCTCCAGCGTTATTTTTAACTTTTCTTTAATCATTTTTTCCTAAATTTAGGCAGTGAAAACGGAGTCTGAGAAGTCACAACCAAGTGAGGTAAATAATTTAAGTCTGTGAGTGAATTATTCTGACCCTTTTTAAAATAATAATGAATGAGTAGTTTCCTTTAAGGCTAAAGGGATTTGTCAGCTAATTTAAATTACTTTGACTATTCTGTTAAATATAACTTAATAGAGTACACATAAAATATTTATAATATTAAATTCATACATTGTTAAAATATATTTTAAAGTATTTCACAAATTATTTTATTCAAATGTAAATTTTAATCTTTTTCTTTTAAAGAACGAAACAAAGGAGAAAAGATCAAGCAGAGGAGATGGTCTGGTAAGTAAAGATGCTCTCTTTGTCAACCTGAATTCAAACCCTAGAGCCCACCGCAGGAACACAACAATTCCTGAAAATCGCCTTTTAACTTTATCACTCTGACATATGCATGTGCAAGCACACGTCTATATACAGACACTCACACATGCTCACACTCATGCACACGTGAGTGCACACATGTACACATACACATAGGCACACACAAATGCACAGACATGTACACTCATATGCACTGGTAATTTTAGAAGGACAAAAGACAGTGCAAGTTATAGGTTCCTTGAAATAGCAGGAGCAGTGTGTTCCCTGGATGATAGCGTGCAGGTTTATCTTGACAGTCTTCTCTGGGTGGGGGAGATGTAACGAGTCTCCTCATAACATCAGGCCCCTTCACCTGGGAACAACTCTTCGTGCTTCCGTTACACTTGGGTGTCCAAACCAAAGTCATTCTGCCTTCATAGAAAGGTGGAATCCAGGGGCCATCTTTCCCTTCAACACAGCTTTCCCCTTAGTACAGTGCTGCGTGTTATTCTTTCAGTTGTTTAAGCAAACTCTTAGGACCATAAGGTTTGCTGTAGGGCAGAGAACTGAGGCAAACATTGGATGCACAGATACAGATGGGGCCAAGGGGTGCATACATGCCTGCAGCCTTTGCATAGTGACCTCTAGAGGGAAGAATTTAGAAATGAAGTGAAAACTGTTTTCTGTTCCACATTTCAGTGCTTGTGGTTTATCTACCAAATGTCAAGAGAATTGGGACTTTGGGGATATTACCATATTTCATCTCCTTTGAGCAGAGATCTTCAAAATGAACTCAGTGGGCTGTGGGGTGTCACTCCTCAGCACACTTAATGCTCACCCTAGTCTTTGATGCCTTTGTAGGTAGTCTGGCAGCTACGGATTGATCTTAGGGAATGTGCAAGGCAGCCAGGAGTTTAGAGAAATGTGTCTTTGAAGAAATATTTCTAGAGAAGGAACTCAGTTTTTCCTTTTTCTGATAATTTCCAACGATAGAGACTGCTAGCAGCCACTGCTGACCATAGTGTATGCCTGGAGCTTCTCCTGAGGACAGAATGGTTTAGTTGAAATTGTATTCTTAGGACAATTTGGAACTGTAAGAATAGTAGATTTTAATAAAATAATTCAGTTTTTACTTCTTCAAAATTAACAGCCACCTATGGTTCATGAGAAAAAGTCTCAAGAGAGAAAAGCAAAGGAAGGTCTGGAGGTGAGTGCCTATTGCTAGGATTCCTGTGCAGTGGTGTCTGTAGTGACTTGTGACTGACTTGTTTCCTCAGCTGACCCAGTGCAATCATGTTGTAACAGTGGTGTTCGGGATTTTTGTTTTGTTTTGGTTTGGTTTTTTGAGAGATACCTTGAGTGTCCTGGAACTAGCTCTGTAGACCAGGCTGGTTTTGAACTCAGAAATCCGCCTGCCTCTGCCTCCATGATCTACTACCACCCAAGTGTTCAGTGATTCTTAAGGAAGATTTTGGGAGGATGCAGTATTTCAGATATTTACCTTATGCTAATTGACATTTACACAATTCAAAACTGCAAAAAGCACAACTCTTATAAACAGCTTTTATTCTATAAAGAAAAATATCAGAACTGTTTAAAATTGCCATTATATTAATAATATATATGTGTGCTTTCAGCCCCCAAACGTTCCCAAGCCTGCATCAGATACAAGAAGTACACGTGCTCATAAAGAAAAAACAGTTTCCAGATCAAATGAGCAGATGGTATCCGAGAAGTCAGCAGACCCAAAAGTGAGCTTGATAAGTGTGAATCCACTAAATGTTGACTTACTAGTAGGTGTGGACCCTATTTGCCCAAAGCGCACAGTTGAATCCGTGGGGTTACAATAGGTTCATTTGATACTGTAATGGCTGGGTGCTGTTGTTGCATTAGTTTTGCAAGAAGCATTCTAGGAATGTGGAATTATGGAGGGCCTGAAAAAAGCCAGCAGATAAGTGTTAGGGAAATGTACTGTCTATGACGCTGGTGTCTCCCAAGCAGAAAGTTTTTAAATGAGGCTGCCTCCTAGGACCCTCTAAACTTGGGCCAGGGAACTATTGTAGCTGTTGATAATATTTGAAATTCAAGATCTTGGTCATAGTCAAAAGATACTTAGTCCTGTCACTCTTCTATCTCTCTTCGCAGACAAAATCAGAAGATATTCCTTCTGCGGGTGGAGGGAAGATGGTTGCAGGTGTGACTGTGGCTGAGGCATCGGACAAGGCGATCGATAAGGTGAGCTCACATGCAGATATAACATGAGCCTCCGTGCTCATCAGCCTACAACCTGACATTCATAAATAATTTAAAAAAGAGAAATAATATACACTGCTTATAAGTGAATCTTTGTGAAGAAGAGCATATGTTTTTGGAAATTTAAAGTGAGAAAAAGTACTGAAATAATTTTGAAATGTATATATCCAATAAATATATATTGGACACCTGGTATATCAGGCCTAGTATTAATACCAAAGTAATTAAAATGTAAGTTGGCTCAGGCCATGCCTCCCAGATTCACAGGTATAAAATCAAGTACATAAAACCTTCATAAGCACTTGAGTAGACATTACACTCAGCTTTGAATGTTCGCAGCAGCAGCCTTGACACTAAATCATAGTCACAGCAAGGGTGTGAGTTGGTAGCATGGCAAGCCTTCACAGCATGATCCTAGACGTGCTGGGCAGTTCCAGGAAGCCTGCCTTGGAGGAGCTTCAGATGCCAGTCTGGGAACATGCAAAAAGTCAGAGAGTAAGGTAAAAAAGTTTTGACACATGCCCTGAGACAGTTTGCTTTCTTGGATCTTGTGATGCTAGGAACATTATTCTAAACAAACTCACAAAACCTTTAAGTAAAAACACTCACAAATGAGGGGTTTTGCAATAGATTACTTGTATATTCTCTCAGGACCCCATTATCACCCTAGGGCAGTTATTTTATTTTATTTTATTTTATTCCTGATTCATCCCCAACTAAGTAGGACTAATCAGACCTATCTTATTTAAGTATGTGGCAGGTTTGAAGAATTATAGTTGACTGTATAATGTGCTAGCTGCAGGCTAGCCCATCTCTTGTTGAAATAGCTGAGACTTTAACTCAGAGCAGATTAAGAGAGGACCCTCTAAAGAGACATTTTATGTGGAAAGGGTGGGTTCTGTCTGACTCAGGGAATTCACAAGACTTTGAAAGAGTATCTCCCTATTAAGGTAGACCTGGAAGGACACCTTGGAATCCAGGCTTGCATACACTTCAGCTGTTGACAAGTTTCACATTAGTTCTGGTCACAAACATGTTCCAGCGTCAGAAAGCACAGAGAGTGCAGAGATGGCAGCAAGACCAGAAAAACAGGTTAAGGCTGCTAGAGCTTGTGGTTAGTGACAGGAGGGTAATGGATGCTTAGGAGCTGTTTCAGTGATGCTGGTAAGTAATTATGTAGTCTAACTTAGACCTGTAATAGAAGAAAAGAGGGGAGATATTCAAAGTTATTGCAGAGTCAAAGCCTTCATATTTAGGAAGGAGTTGGCCAAAGAGGGCAGAGTAATGCACAATGTCCTGGCGGAATCTGACATAAGTTGGCTGATAACACTGAAAGAAGACAAAACAGATGCCCCAGCACCAAGCTTATGGAGGTTCTCCCTATGTGGTCCAAGCACAGGGTCACGACTGAAAGCAAGTGCCTCTTTAAGAATGGAGGCCTTGCTCTTTGATCACCTCCCCCTGAGGGGGGAGCAGCCTTACCAGGCCACAGAGGAAGACAATGCAGCCACTCCTTGAGACCTAACAGACTAGGATCAGAAGGAAGGAAAAGCCCTCCCCTACCTGTGAACTTGGTGAGGGGCATGCATGGAGAAGGGGAAGGAAGGGAAGGATTAGGAGGGGAGCAGGGAGGGAACTACAGGGGGGATAAAAAGTAAATAAAGTGTAATTAATAAAAAAAATTAAAAAAGAGTAGAGGCCTTGCCAGCAAGGGAAAGCCACACTTACCTGTGTGTACTATGGATGCTGCTAGAGAAAGCAAAGAGCTGGTTTCTGGGGAAGTGGTGTCCATCACCCATACTCTTTCTTGGCCGAGTCGTATGGCAATGAACCTGATATTGAAATGGCTTGGGCCATTCAAACAATGCAGCATGCTGGATTCTATTACAGACACAAAGTAGATGACCAGATCTACTCTTGAGTTCCGTTAAAATTTGGAGAAGTTCAGAGTAGATGTGTTGTGGACCCAGAAGAACTCAAATCAAAATCAGCTAAAGAGAAGTGGAGGCCATTCTACTTAAAGTTTGAAGGGTTCATAGAAGACTACAACTGTGCCACTTTGCTGAGACTGGACTGTCCCCAGGGCTACACTGAGGAAAACACCATCTTTGCACACAGGATTCAATGTTTTGCAAATGAAATTGCTCGGAACCAGGAAGGCTAATGCAAAGCTGTTTCCAGCAGTGTTCAGGATAAAGAGGGAGAGAAAGGAGCTGACAATAAAAAGAGGAAGCTGAGAAAGGAGCTGATAATGGAGGAGAAAAGAGGATGGAGTCAACAGAGAAGGAGAAAAGTAGAAAACTAACCAGGGTGGAGAAAAAGAAAGCCAAGAAACATGGCTCAGCTGAACCCACAAGTATCAGGTGCTAAGGGCACAGACCCCTTTGGTTAAATGATTGCCCTTGCACAAATGGAGGCCTCAGAAGGACATCTTTCTAGCTAGTAAGAGAAACCACTCTGGGCCTAAACACAATAGTGGAGTCTCTTAGTTAACTGTTGATTAATATCCTGTTTCTTGACTGTAACTGTTGAAGTATGACATTTTGTAAATAAATTCCTTTTGCTTTGTATCACTTAAAAAAAAAAAAAGAAGAAGGGAGGGCTTGCAGCACAGTACCTGAGCCTCTGGTTACCTTTTGAGAGGTTGGCAGAAGCCTGTTGCATTCATGTGGAGAAAAGGATGTGCCTAATTTAGGCTAGACTAAATTTAAGTGTTTGACAGACTTAAGAAATTTCTTAAGCAAAAAAATTAAAGTATTGTTTGATGTCCAGAAGAAGGGAAGGAGTAGAAGGGAAGGGTAAAGGAGAGGTGGAAAGGGAGAGAGAGGAGATAGTAAGAATGGAAAAGATTGAGACAGGAAGAAGGAACAAGAAGGTGTGTGAGTGTGTATCTACACAAGATGATAGCTGACTTCTGGATGGAGGTTCAGATGCCCAGACTGTGCCTTGCACCTGACACAGTTTCATCACACAAATCACAACAATTGTTTATTTGGCATTTAATTATATAGCAAATACTATATTATGCATACAAATGTTAAACACTGATTTTCATTAACAAAATCCTCACAACCCCTAAGTAGGTACCATCATTGTCCTCACATCACTATAAAACCAAGGGATAGGGGAAGTGACTCATAAGTCTCAAGTATCTGTGCATGACATTGCTGGTGTACAAATGTAGGCAGCCTGGGATCTGCTGTTCAAATTTGATGCTTTTAAATGATACACGGCCCTGGATGGTCCTAAATGAAATAGCCTCACAATTTAAGATAGACCACCCTCACAAGTCAGGAACATACAGAATATGTGCTATTGGAAACTGCATAAGAGATGCCCAAGTCAAGCTTACAAACACAACAGCAGAATCAGGATGCTGCTTTTCTGAGGCAAGTGTAAGACATAAGAGCTGGTGTAGTGATGCTCCCCAGCATCAGCTTCAGGGATGATGTCTGGACAGAGGCAGGAAGATTTCAGGTTGGAATGTTACTAGCTGTCTTGGACAGGAACTGCAGTAATTAATGATGAGAAGGAGAAATGTAATAAACAAATCAAGGAAGGAACAATGACATACCAAGGCAGGAGACATAGTGATCTTGATGAGTGGAAGCAAAGACCCAGGGAACAGTAGCCACAAGTAGCAGCCTCAGAAAGAGCTTTTAGGGTTGCAGGGCCTGGAACAAGTCCACAAAGGACCAGGCAGTCCTGGTGCAGTTCATGGTTTTGTTCCTTGCTCTGCACCCCAGGGCAAGGTGCCTCGTCACCCCTACCTTCCTTCTTTTCCCACTCTTGATCTTTCCCTTCCTATTTTCCTCTGCTCCCCTTCCCTCTCTTTTTCCTTCTCTTCCACCTCCATCTCTTTCGTATACAAAATAACATTTTAATTGCCTTTTTACATATTTTTTTCTTGTATTGGTCAAGTACCTAAACCAGTCTATCACAATCAGATACATCCATTTTCTTCCATGAACCTGATATCTCCAAGCTTCTCTTTCCCATCATTAAACAGGTTTAATGTTTATAGTTGTTCTGAAGTGAGTACCATTACTGCCCAGAGCAGATCAGGGGACTAGTACACGATCTAGGCCTTTTAAATAATCTTAAATGTGTCATAATGCCTTTTCATAAAGATGTATACAAGTTTCTAAAGTCCTTCTAAACTCTCACTAGAAAAAAGAAGAGAAATCATTAACACCAGCTTCATCAGTGGCGTCCAAACTGACTAAGCCAGCTGACAAGGTATGGAGATCACATAGCATCTCAACATCAGACATTTCCTCCGCCGCTTGTCTGAGCCTCATTGCTTGTGCTTTTAAAGGAAAAATTTAGTGGCTTAGTATTAAAATAAATTATGACTGAGTTGAAAGTGTGGATTTCATACTGTGTTTGTACCATTTCATGGTGTAAATGTCTATTTTGAAAATTCTAGTTCCATTACACTAAGTTCATTTATACTTTCTCTTCTAGAAATATGTGTTGTATAACAATATACATGGCTGTGTGAGACTTGAGGGTTCTAAGGACTGTCTAATCATTCTTTTTTACCTCTCTGGTAAAAAATATAAAATACTTTTTAAAAAAAAAAATCTATCCCTCTTCCCCAAGAAACCACAATAGTAGTAAAAAGGGGAAAAAAATGGTCAAAAGCTAATAGGCCTTAATTTTTATTACATTATGAAAAATCTGACAAATCCTAAAACCATGTGAGAATGTTGTAGTTCTAAAGAGAAATCATCAGACATCTTCTGTGATACTTTTACATTTGAGGTGTGTAGTGAAGTTCTTTCCCAGTCTACTGTTTTCCACTAAGGTGCCTAGTCATAGTGAGGCATCCATAACTACAAAATGAGGTGGCAGCAAGTATTCATTAATATGTGATTTCATGTTGGCAGACTACACTGTCAATTCATATATCTTTACCATTGATCTCACATGATTTCTCTTTAGAGCTATCTAGTGGGCAAGCAACTGAGAAACATGGACAAATACAGGGTCATTTATTATTGAAATAGATTATTTGGAAGAGTTTCTGTGTACAGATTTTGTTAGTATGAAATTATGGGAGAAACTGAAAAGCAACAAATACCATATAGCTAATCCTTGCATTTCTTTTTTTTTTAATTTATTTATATTTTTATAAATCACGGTTTATTCACTTTATATACCTGCTATGGCCTCTTCCCTCATCCCTTCCCAGTCCCACCCTTTCTCTCTCATATCCTCCCATGCCTGTCCCTAAGTCCACTGAAAGGGGAGGTCCCTCCCATTCCCTCTGACCCTAACCTATTAAGTCTCATCAAGACTGGCTGCTTTGTTTTCCTCTATGGCCGGTTAGGCTGCTCCCCGATGAAGGGGAGGTGATCAAAGAGCCAGCCACTGGAACCCACTTGGAAACTGAGCTGCCATGGGCTACAGATGTGCAGGGGTTCTATGGGTTCTAGATTATCTCCATGCATGGTCCTCGGCTGAAGTATCAGTCTCAGAAAAGACCCCTGTGCCCAGAATTTTTTGATCTGTTGCTCTCCTTGTGGAGCTCCTGTCCCCTCCAGGTCTTCCTGTCTCCGTCTTCTTTCATCAGATTCCCTGCACTGTGCCCAAAGTTTGGCTATGAGTCTCAGCATCTCCTCAATACCTTGCTGGGTAGTCTTTCCACGGCCCTCTGTTGTAGGCTCCCGTCCTGTTTGCCTGGTTTCTCCCTCTTCCAATGTCCATCCCCTTTGCCTTTCTGCATGAAATGGGGAACAGAGCTAAACAAAGAATTCTCAATAGAGGATTATCAAATGCCAGAGAAACACTTAAAGAAATGCTCAACATCCCTAGTCATCAGCAAAATGCAAATCAAAACAACCCTGAGATTTCACCTTATACCCATCAGAATGGCCATGATCAAAAACTCAAATGAGAACACATGCTGGAGAGGATGTAGAGAAAGGGGAACCCTATTCCACTGTTGGAGGCAATGTAAACTTGTAAAACCACTTTGGAAATTAATCGGCGTTTTCTCAGACAATTAGGAATAGCGCTTCATCAAGATCCAGCTATAGCTCTCCTAGGTATGTATGCAAAATATACTCAAGTATACAACAAGGACATTTGCTCAACCATGTTTGTAGCAGCTTTATTTGTTATAGCCAGAATCTGGAAACAACCCAGATGTCCTTCAAATGAGGAATGGATATAGAAGTTGTGGTACATTTACACAGTAGAATACTACTGATCAATTAAAAACAAAGAAATCATGAAGTTTGTAGGCAGATGAATGGTACTAGAAAAGATCATCCTGAGTGAGGTAACCCTATACTCACTTATCAGTGGATATTAGCCATAAAATATAGGATAAACATACTGAAATCTATAGTCCTAAAGAAGCTAAACAACAAAGAAGACCCTAGGAAAGATGCTTAATCCTTATTCAAAAGGGCAAACAGGATAAACATTAGAAGTAGGAGAAAACAGAGAACAGGACAGGAGCCTTCCACAGAGGTCCTCTGAAAGACTCTACCCAGCAGGGTATGGAAGCAGATGCTGAGACTCATAGCCAAACTTTGGGCAGAGTGCAGGAAGTCTTATGAAAGAAGTGGGAGATAGAAAGGCCTGGAGGGGATAGGAGCTCTACAAGGAGACCAACAGAGCCAAAATATCTAGGCCCAGGGTGTCTTGCAGAGACTGATGAATCAACCAAGGACCATACATGGAGAGAACCTACACCCCTGCTCAGATGTAGTTCATGGGTTGTCCATTTGGGTTCTCTAGTAAGGGGAACAGACACTGTCATGCACTTGGATGCCTGTTCATTGATTGCCTTTCCTTGGTGAGGATGACTTACTGGGCCATAGAGGAAGATGATCCAGATGGTCCTGATGAGACCTGATAGGCTAGGGTCATAGGGGAAGGATCTAGTGGGGAAGAGGGAAGAAGGGTGAGACTGGGAGGAGATGAGGCAGGGACTACAACAGGGTTACAAAGTGAATAAATTATAATAAATAGTTATAATAATAATGATGAAAAATCTTCATAGTAAAATGGACTGGACTTTAACTATTATTGAACTTGGAGAAGTTATAGTATTTGATACATTTTGTAGTTAAAAACCAAGGGAAATATATCTACCAATAACATTTACTTATCTTCTCTCTTTCATTTCCAGTCAGGCATGGATGCTGCTTTGGATGACCTGATAGACTCTTTAGGTGAACCTGAGGATTCTAAGAAAGATGATCCACCATACACTGGACCAGTAGTTTTGGTATGTGATCAGATGCCAGTAAGAACTCATCCTCAGTGGTAGGAAAGCAAATAAAGCCATGGCTGTCAAACACAGGACTGCTTACTATGTTCTGTTGACCATGTAGAAGCAGGATGAGATCAGCATTAATATTAAAAACCAGAACTTAGTGGTGAGGATGGAAATAGTTAGCTACACAGTTGCATTGATTCAGAAAACATCTGATAATGCTAAAACTCTTACTGGAGCAGCTAACTAGGTCAGAAAGTCTTGTTTTCTGTCCTTTAGATTTGATGCAGTGGACTTGAATTTATTTTGAGTTTTGGATCCTTATGATCCTGAGTCTATCCTTATGATCCTGAATCTATTCTTAATTTCCAAGGAACAATGTGTATGAAAACGTTGTACGTTACATGAAAACATTTTCTACAGATACCATTATATATTCGCTTCTTCAGTTTACAACAAATAGAAAAACAGTAGAAAAATTTTCTGTACTGAGACAGTTGCTTTGACGACGAACAGGTAACATGAAGGTTTATCAGGGAATTGGGAAAATGAAATAAATCATGGGGTGGTGCCATTGGCTCAACCAGACTGCCAAAAGTTAAAAAATCCGACAGCTGAATTTAGCATTACCTATTAAAGATGTGTCTCCTTCAGTCACAAAACCCCTCCAGAGAGACCCTAGAGTCCCTATGTATGGAGAAGGATAACATTTGGAAACAATATGGTCCACAGAAGATAGGAAGCTATTCTGTGCTTCATAAAGGGAGAATGGTGTCCTCATGCATCATCATGGATACATTACAAAGCCATAATGTTGAATAAAATAAACCAGAGCAGCAAAATGGTACTATTTATAGAGTATTTGAAAACATTCAAAGTTATGATGTATATAAATTGTTTATGAATTGTTTAGAAATATTTATTCCTACAGTCACAATAATATTTTTAAAATATATTTTACTTCAGTTTCTAAAAAGTGATAAAATTACATGTATCCTGATATTAAAAATAAACCATATGTTAGATGAAAATATTTTCAAAAGTTACAAAGTATTTACTTCTAGAGTTTATAAAGAATAAAAAACACAGAAAAAAAAGACAATTCTTTAGAAAATGATAGAGATGATGGACTTAAAGTGCAGAGTGCTGTCTATGAAACTAATTGAGTAATTGTTAGTATACCATTAGAACTTTAGGGTTATGTTAGGCTTCTTAATGATTTGTTTTCATCTTAATAGTTACAGAAAAAATAGTACTAGACTAGTGCTTTGGATCCACATATCATCCTCAGTAGATTAATTGCATAATATGTCTTAGTATGTAATTTTCTTCCAGGACCCAATGTATTCTACCTATACTGAGGAATTGGGTAAAAAGGAAGGGACTATTCCTCCAGAGTACAGGAAACTTCTGGATGTAAGTTATCATTCACTTTTATCTCACCATCCTTCTTAGAAGATAATTTCATAACAATGTAAAATTCTAGACAATTGAATGGAACATATACAGTTGTTATTATTGAAAAATACCCTCTGTGTGTTCCTTTGGTACTTCCCTGACAGCATACTACAGACTGGGTAGTTAAACTAAGAGAAATGTGTTGTCTGGTGTTTCTAGAGGCTAGAAATCACAATTAGGGTGTGGGAACATCTTGCTCCTTCTGAGGGCTCGGAGGGGTAGCTTTCTTGTAGGCCTGTTTGTTAGGCTTATAGGTGGCTATCTTCGCCCTCATCCTTTCACATTACCTTCCCTCTTTGTTTTTCTCTGGGCTCAAATTCTTGTTATTCATATAGACAATAGTCCCACAAATGACCTTGCTTTATTGGATTCCTTACATAGAGATCCCATATCCACATAAAGGTACCATTCTGAGGTTCTTCAGGACCTCAGCATATGAGTGGGAAAGCACACAGTTTAGCTCATCATTGACTGCGAATACATTTTATCAATCAGAAGAATTAATCTTGCCTTGTCTACTTTTTTCATGTTTGTTTCAGAAAAAAGAAGGGATTGCCACACCTCCTCCAGAATCCCCTGTAAGTTTTTATGCATTCCTTCTAAGATCTGCATCAACACTGTGTTCTTTGTTTGGGGGCATAAAAAAACCAGTACCAAACTGGGTTTGGTAGTATAGTCCTGTAATCCTATTTACTTATGAGGCTGAGCTCAAGGTCAGCCTAGGTAATTTAGGCGCTGGGTAATTTAGGTCTTAAAAAGTAAAATGCTATCTGGGGATGTATCTTAGTGGCAAAGTATTTGCCTAGTGTATACAAGGCTCTGTGTTAAATACATACATACATACATACACACACACATATATATAGATATATATATATATAAGTATATACATATATACAAACAAATATATATATAGTCAAGAAGATAAAAGGATATAGTAAATAATAATTATCATGGGAAAAGGAGGAAGAATGCCCACTTCCTTCCAAACATGGTTTCCTTCTGAGTTATTTCATTAACATTTCTCATTTACTATCTAAAGAATGCAAAGGTTGTTTCTTTGCTGTACTAATCTTTGGCTTGGCTCCAAGAAGTTACTCTGTGCTCTTTTCTCTAGAAACCCATGGGGACTGATGATGCTATAGATGCCTTGTCATCTGATTTCACCTGTAGTTCTCCGACTGGAAAGCAAACTGAGAAAGAGGTACTACTTTTATTCCTATAAAGGAGGTGTTTGCTAGAAAGTATCTTTGATGTAAAAAGAAAGTTTTAGTTCTGTTTATCACAGTTGAACTTTGATCACCTTTAAATACCTTTTGTATTTTCTTTTTTCAGAAATCTACAGGGGAAGTTCTGAAAGCGCAGTCTGCAGGAGTGACTAGAAGTGCAGTTTCTCCCCAGGAGAAGAAAAAGAAGATTGAAGAGGTACTTAACTTTCTTAAATGGCCCATACGACAGCAGTCACTTCCCTGACTTCGCTTGTTTATGAGTGCTTCTAAAGCACAGCCTCTAGTTTGTCACACACGACTGTTGTAAATTAGGGGCTCCTCCAAGCAACTCAGTGGCAGCAGTGCGGTGCTGGCCACCCCAGAAATTCTCTCTTTCACCCTCTCTCCCTTCTTTTCCCTCTCACTCTCCCTTTCTGTCTTACTTGTCCATTCTCTCTGTCCTCTGTCGCTATCTCAGACTCATGTCCACACATCAGCACAGCCTTTCGCTGTCCCTGCTCCCTCAATAAACCTCTTGCTCTAGATTTGTTGCCTGGAGTGATTTCTTAGTGACACTTGCATTCTTGGCATGGACCTGCCAAAACACCCATCCCCTGCCACCGCTTTATTCTAACAAAGACCGTTTCATCTTGTAACAGACAGAGACAGTACTCTTGGACCATGAAATGTTAGACTTGAATACCTAAAGGGAGTTTTGTGGGTCACTACAGGCATGTCAGCACAGCTGTTTCTGTTTGCCTCTTGTAACAGCAACCAGATATAACCTAATTCTCAGTCTTCAAAGTTGATCCTATAGCTCCATGCTTGATGTGGGCATGTGTACCCTGTGTGAATGGTACTGATAATGCTAAGGACTTTTTCTATGAGGGCTGTCTTTGCTCTGCCCTGCTGGAGTGAACAGTTTATTTTTATCTGTATGGCTGAGGGAACCATGGGGAGCAACACACCCTGAGTCTGGGAGTTCTCACAGCCTGAACACATGTCTTCAGAGCCACTTCAGCTTCTCACTTACTTGAGCTTAGTTGTTTTGCTAAAGGGCCAAATTTTCAGAAGTCCCTTCACAAACACTTTTAGAAAAAGAAAAATAGAGTTATGAATGTTTACTTGCTTGCAGCTTTTATTTTGATAATGGTCTTTTATAATATCATTTTATTATAATCATATATCTTTCTTGCAAAATAAGGGTTGAAGTATGCCCTATAGCAATTGCTATAGGAACATCATCGCTAAGTTATTTTATATATAAATAAAATTTTATTTATTTAATCACTTTTAAACCCAATCCCAGCCCTTTCCCTCATCTCCTCCCTGTCCTGACCTCATGCCCTCCTCCTGCCATTCTTCCCTGTCCTTCTTCTCAGAGAAGATAAGGCCCTTAACGGGTACTAACCCACCTTGGAACTTCAAATCACAACAGGACTAAGCGCCTCTTCTCCCACTGAAGCCAGACAAGGCTGCCCAGCTAGGGGAGAAGGATCCAAAGGAAGGCAACAGAGTCAGAGATAGCCCTTACTTCCATTGTTAGGGAACTCACAGGATGACCAAGCTGCACATCTGCTACTTGTAGGAAGTCTTGGTCTGGCCCATGCAAGCCATTTGGTTGGTTGTTCACTTTCTGTGAGCCCTTATGGGCGAGATTAGTTTATGCTGTAGGAAGTCTTCTTGTGGTATCCTTAACCTCTGGGACTCCCTCAATCCTTCCCACTCTTCCATAAAACTCCCCAAGCTCGGCCTATGGTTTGGCTGTGGGTCTCTGCATCTATTGCCATTAACTGCTGGGTGAAGCCTCTCAGACTCCTGTCTGCAAGCATAGCAAAGTATCAATATTGTCAGGGGTTGGCTCCTTCCCTTGGGATGAATCTCAAATCGGACCAGTAGTTGGTTTGCCATTTCCTCAGTCTTTGTGCCAAAACTTTATCCCTACACTTCTTGTAGCCAAGACAGATTTTTGGGTCAAAGGTTTTATGGGTGAATTGATGTCAGCTTCCTTCCACTGAAAGTCCCACCAGGCTATAGGAAGTGGCCACCTTGGGCTCCATTTCCCCCCATGTCCCAGAGATACTCCCCACTGATTTCTCTTCTCTCTCTGGCTCCTTTCCCTCCTGGCCCCCCTTAACACTGATCCCTGTTCCTGTTACCCTCCCCACCCCCCTCCCACACAGTTCCCTCCCTCCTTCTACTTCAGATCTCTATTTTACTTCCTCTTCTGCGTGTGATTCAAGGATCCTCCCTTGGGATATCCTTGCCTTCTTTGAGTCTGTGGTAAAAAGCAATCTCTAGATTATAAGTTGTTTCTTACCGAACACAATCTACAGATTCAATGTAGTTCTCGTCAGTAAGTTCTTTTTCCCTTCCTCTTTTAATTTTCAAATGTTTCCTCCATATAGTAATTTCCCAATACACAATTTATCTTCTGTATATAAAATGTATATTTCACAAGCAAGCAAGTTGATAATATGGATTATCTATATATAGATAGATGTATAGATAATATGGATTATCTATCTCTAGAGTTTTATTGTTTTGTTTTTATGTACAGAATTTTTTGTTTTTAACAGGAGGTCATGAGTGATCAAGCCGTGCAAGCTCTGTCAGATTCACTAAGCACAAGGCAGCCAGACCCCGAGAGCCATCCTAGCCCAGTTCATCAAGTCAAAGAGGTACTGACCATGTAATTCATATGCAAAGTCTACACATCAAAGCTGAGCATTGCCACATGATTAGAATTTTTTTTACAATGTTAGAATTGAAAATGAACTTTCAGAGTAAATGTAGGTATTTGTTGCTGTGGCGTGAGCAATCCAGAAATGGGGGTAGAGGGGAGAAGACAAAGAAACAGGTATCCCTTTGCTGAAGTTAAGGAGCACCTAACTGAGAAGATAACAGTGATAGTCTAGCGAGAACCTGTAAAATTTGTTTTTGCTTGGTATGGTGAATTTCTATTTTCAGGAGTGCTTGTGGTGGGAGATGATTATGGAAGAGTAGAATGAACCTTCTTTTGTATAACTATGGGGGAAGAAGGTTGAAAAAGTTTTTTCAGGTTGAAATAAATTGAGCAACAATCACCCCCCTACATGTTTATTGAGCTCATGCACATGTTAGAGCATGCTTCTCTCATACCCACCCTGCCCTGAGCTGATGTAGAAGTGTGATAGGAAGTTATGGTTTTTGTATACTTTTCAAATCAGTTCTCTGGAGGAAAGAGAAAGGACAGAAGCGGCCTGTGTCTGACATGGCAGGAATCCTAGAGGGACTCTAAAACCAAAGGTTTGGAAGCACTACCTATCAGATCAGGGAAAGGGATGCGGCAAGCAGCATTGTCACAATTGCCCCTGCCTCTGCCGTCACTTCCTGTGCTGAGTTGTCCGGGAACTGAGCCTGCGGCTGAACTGGCCCAGGTCTTCTATGGGCCAGTTTCTGTCTTCTGCTTTCTGGGAGGGCTCACCTGCTGAAGTGTGGCACGAGAAGCTTCGCAATGGTGAACATAGGGAGAAACAATCCCTGTCCTCCAGGACCATGTGATGTGCTCAGAAGAAGGGGAACATGGGTCCAAACACCATGAGGTGCACATTACTCAAAGGCACGCTGTCTCTAAGGAGAGTGATCTTGGTGAAGCCCTGGGTGTGGCCAGGAGGCTAGCCTGAGCTGTGTTACCATCACTGGGGTGCTGTAGTTTTCAATTTTGTCTCAGGCTTTTTATAGATAATTAGAGTAATTTCATAAGACAGTAAATGTGTGGAGAGAGAAAGTATAAACCTGATACAAGTCCCAGGTCAGTCCAACTAATTCAGTCACTAACCCAGATGATTAGGTGGAGGAAAGTGGCATAAAATAACTCATGCAGCAGCATGGATAACGTCATTATTTTATGGGATATGCATGCGTGACATGTTCACTGTCCTTTAGAAGCCAGTGAGTACCTGTAAACTCATAAGATAACTTTCTATCATATGACATAATAGCTTTTTCCTAGTCCTGAGCTATAACTACTTCCTAAGAAGATCTTTCAGTCCTCTAAATTCTTGAGCTAATTGTAGGGTCCGGGGGTAATCATTTACAATAAGTAGCCTGGAGTCTTGACTTACTGTGAGTACATGGCTGCCAAAGCACCTCCCACACTAGGCAATGCCTATACAAACTATGGATGTTCCAGAGAACAGATCCAATCTCACTGCAAGTCTTATTATACCATAAAATAAACAATTATTTTACTTATAATGATTATCGTTTAAGCCACTCCCTACTTTTAGGTATGTGTACCTGGTCCAGAATGTTGGCAATTTGGTAGACTTTCTTTTGGTCTTTTTGGTGACTATGTCTAGTGTGGCTCCAGCTGTATCTGTCACTGCCCATAGCCTCAAAGTATGGAGAGTCTTCCTATGCAGATGTGCTTTGATATTCCTGGTATCTCCGTAGGGACCAGATGTAGCCCACCTCTGTGTGTTGGGCAGTATTTGTTGCATACCCCCATAAGCAGTAATAGAGTAAAACTTGAAATTCAAAAAGAAACAAGGACTTTCCCATACTGAATAACATAAAACCCTAGTCCTAGAACAGAGAACAGTGCCTGGCTGACTAAAATTACTTAATAATTTTTAGGAATTAATAAAAAATGTAGCCATTCCAATCTGAGATTGAGGTAGAGATGGGAACCGTGGTTGAATTTGCTTAAGCAAATTGTGCCCCCTACCTTAGGTTCTAAACCAAACCCTGGCCTTGAAATAGATGCAAATCCTTACACATGGAATCTTATAGGACTCACATGCAGATTCCATTACAAATTTTATAGAGAAGAATTAGTAGTCTGCTATAGAGCCACTTATTTCTAATCTATTGATTTGCTTGTGATTCATTGGTCTTGTGATGTAAGTCCTGATGCTATTGAAGGGAGTCCTTTATAAATCGTTAAAACCAATTCTCCATGAGGAAGCCACATCTGTGTCTATCTGAGCCACAACTGTGTCTATCTGCTTCTTGCATTTCTGTATTGGATGAGAGAACTGGATGTGTCCTTTTTCCCCTTCTTAGATAACTCCCTTTGGGCAACATATATGGGAGCTATTAAAATAATTGCAGTTAACTTCTGAACTGTGCTTACTGTCATCCAAGGAGCCTTTATTTGCTTTGGTGAGCCTTCAAAGTCAGTGAGCTAAGGAAGGATTGTTAGCTAGAGAGCCAGCACTCTCAAGGGTGCCATGGCTTCCTAAGGCCTAGACCAAACAGGGTGTCTCAGGGTGCCTGTCCACAGCTGTCTTACAGTTTTACATTCTGTGGTTTACAGAGCATTCGAACCATTTTAGTCCAATTGTGGGTCTTTCTGCAGTAGGTGATATTGGTTTATATTACAGTCATCATTTAACTACTTTTTTTTTGCCTCTCCATTTCCCTCAGGAAAAAAGAAAGGAAAAAAAGCAGGAGAAGTGTGGCGAAGATGATGACACAGTCCCCTCTGAGTACAGGTTAAAGCCAGCTACGGTGAGCGCTCTGCATAGCAGCACACTAACCTGCTGTTATGCTGTGATAGCCCTCCTCTTGACAGTGCAACACAGCTGTTTCACTTCAGATATCAGCTCTGGAGATAATGGACTCATTCTCTTGGCTCTCTGCAGCCCAGGGATTAATCCCCTCAGTAATGGGTTAGCCCGTTGTGTCTTCTAAACTAGTTATTAATGCTCTCACCTATTTGACTATTTGGGGAAAGGAGAAAACATTCCCTAAATTGTGCAATTTCATGTTCAAAAGCTAAACAGTGTTTAATTAAAAAAATAATATTTGTCCTGTGTTTGAGAATTGATGCTTTTTCTCTCATTATGTTTTGAGACAGGTTCTCAGATACTCTTAACTAGCTTCAAACTCACTCTGTAATGGAGATTGCCCTCGACTCCTAATCCTCCTCTAGCTCCCAACTGCTGGGATAACAGGCATGAGCCTCCACACCCAGCTTGATAGACATGAGATTCTTTTTACTCTTCCGTTAAGGAAGGGTTAGCCATATGGCTCAGTGGGTAAAAGGTGAGACACTTTTTACCAAGACTGACTACCTAAATTTGTTCCTTAGGTCCCACATGATAGGGAAAGAAGTAACTCTACAAATTGTCCTCTGACCTTCACATGTGTCACACACACACACACACACACACACACACTGAATGTTCAAAAGCCTTTTTGTTTGTTTGTTGATCCTTTTGCCTCACCAAACAGTAAATATTTCAGTAAGTTGTAATGACTGAATACTTAGAAATGTTTGGTCTTTTGATCAGATTCCTATTTTGGTACTTTATAAAAATTAGGCCTAAAATTAATTCACTCAAGTATAAAAAATAAGCTTATATCTCACAGCCTGAATTTGTCTAAAACAAACAAATAAATGGGACATGTAAGCAAAGTTTTCTATTTTATTTCCAATAAATTTCTAATTTCATTTACAGGATAAAGATGGGAAACCACTATTGCCAGAGCCTGAAGAAAAGTCTAAGGTTTGAAAATAGCTTTTTCCTAATACTTACACATATCAGAAATATAAGGTGTAAATTAGGATCATTTTTAAAAGACCACAGTTCACATGTATCCTGGAACTGAGGAGAACTCTGATGGTAACTCAAGGCTGAGGCTGCTGCTCTTTTGCATACTTTAATGTGGTTTCCCTCCTGGGTTATTACCACACTGTTAGTTTCTAAGCAGCATTCACCAATCACTAGGAGTTAATGCCAAAGGGCTTTTACATTGTATTATTTTAGCATTAAATTTAGACTTTGATTTAGTAACAGCATAAACTAACAGTTTTATATTGCCTTAATTGCACATAGTTTCCTGTCATCGTGACACCAATTAGCAGCATTTACTAATCACGTACTATGTCCTCAACATTGCTCCAAGTGCTTTTCACGTCTTTTCTTCTTTCGTTTTTTAAAGAACCACTGAGTACAGTTAGTGTTGTTTAGCTGAGCACAGGTGTGGGGTTATTTGCTGGAGCATGGGAAATTTCCCAGTAGATGTACCACTAAAAAAACAGCTTCAGTGTTCCAGTAGCCATTAATTGCCAGAACTCCCCAAAGAGGTATGTGCCTTCTTAAGTCCCTTTCCCGTATGTGATAGAGGACTGGTAGGCCCAATCTTTTGCAGGCAACTGTAGCCAACTTGAGCTGCTATGAGTTCATGAGTAGCCATGTCCTTTCTAGAAGAAAGCACTCAAAACACTCCCCCTCTTTCTGTTCTTTCTTCCAAGATGTTCGCTGAGTCTTTGGTGTGTGTGTGTGTGTGTGTGTGTGTGTGTGTGTGTGTGTGTGTGTTATGTCGAATTTATGGCAGGGTATTCACCAATCCTAATTCTCAGCACTTTGACCAAGTGTCAGTCTTTGCATTAACCTGCCAAGAAATGATGTTTCTATGCATGACATCAAGAGTAGCACTAATCTATAGCTTTTCACAAGTTACATGGGTTTTTATTCCAGTTTTACAGTGAGGAAACAGAGGCAGAACATGTATATAACCCAAGGTCACACAGCTAGAAAATACTAAGTCCAGGACTCAGAACTTGTGCTGTCCCCACCAGGGGCCCATTGTCTGAAGTACACCTTTTCACCATAGGTTATTTTAATAGAATTCCCTCGTGGACTGGCTTTGCTGAAAGAAATAGGACCATGGAACTTTCCTGCCAGAAAACATTTTCTATCTTCTCCCTTCCATCCCTTCTCATTCCTTCATTATAGGAAATGAGTACATGGATTGTGTTTTCTCTGCTTTATTCTGAAAGGAAATCATTAAGAAATAGGAAATAAATAATCACTTTTGAAACTGTAATTATTCATTGGAGAAAACAGGAAACTTTGATTAGAGGTCTACAACAATCATTTTATTTGTTACTTTGAAAATGACTTACTCTATTTTCTTAATAATTAAAACTTTATTGTAAAGGACTTGTAAATAAAGTCATCTCAAAGAGAGATTCACCAGACTCAAATCTACACCTCTGGATGGACTTCCATGCAGTTCCTAGAGTTGATCTATCAGTTCAGTAAACCTTTAGAACTTACTCAGTGCTAAGTTGGAGAGTATTCTATATTTGTGAGACGTTTTTTTCTCACAATGATAAATGAAGAATTTGTCTTATCAAGCTATGTTTTGTTTTAGATAATACAATGTAGCTAAATCACATTAACCAAGTTTTTTTTTTTTTTTAAAAAATTACTGTCCTATACTTTTTACAGAGCAGAACGTCTTCATAATGCAGGATTTCTTGTTACAGTGCCTGAGTGAGTCAGAGCTAATTGGGAAGCTTTCAGAAGATTTTGGCCAATCTACTTATCAAGACAAACCATCTATGCCAGCTGAGAAAATACAAGTATGCTGCTGATAATATGTTTTGACTGGGTTTAGTGTACATTTTTAATCTGAAAATGTGTGAAGCCCAAATTATTATTGCATAAAGGAGCTGATTGTAAAAGCCCATGAAAACCCATGTGCCACATTTTATACATGGAGTTATCATCTCACCTTTTTCCAGATGTATTTTATATTGCCAGCCTAACCTTAATATTCTTGCAGTTTAAATCCTGCAACCATTTCTTCAGGGAAGTGCTTATATTCAGGCTTTCCTTTTGACTGCTGTCACTGAGATGGTTAAGTAAAACTGACACATGCTCTCATTCCAGAGGTCTTCACTGTCCTTCCTACTTTCCGCCAGAGTCACACTTCTTGAAGGACATGTCTAGGACACTGAAGCTTCCCACGCCCTATGCAAGGGCTCCATACATGCCATTAATAAATTCTAGCTGTGCTTTCCTTTCCACCAGGTTGTCCCTGCCTTGCTCAGAAGGAAGGCTTTGCTAAAAGTAGCCTTTAATTATTGGTGCTTTTCCTCCCTTACCCATCACACCCTTTACTAAAAAATTCAAATGGCAGCAGTTCTCAGTCGTTTGTTTGTTTATTTGTGATGTGTGTGTCTTCCTGTTAAAACAATTAACTCAAAAAGCTCAAAACAAAAAGCTCAAAAAACAATTAACAAAAAGCTCAAAAAGATTCTGAGCTTTATTCATGCTTTTTTAATCCTAACATCTGTTTGTTTGCTTGTTAAGATTTATTATGTATACAGTGTTCTGCCTGAATGTATGCCTACAGGCCAGAAGAGGGCACCAGGTTTCATTATAGATGGTTGTGAGCCACCATGTGGTTGTTTTGAGTTGAACTTAAGACCTCTGGAAGAGCAGACAGTGCTTTTAACCTCTGAGCCATCTCTCCAGTCCCACATCTATTAGTTTTAATAGTTCAGTTTCTAAAGGATGACAAGAGCATACTTTGTTAGTGTTCATTCTCCAGAGGCTTTGCAAGTAGGGACATTTGTTAAAGTGTCTGGATTAAAGGCATTTGAAAATTACTGTACCCTGCCCCTAGAATTTCTCAGTGCATTGTGGTGAGAATATAAGAACATATACTTTTCACAACCTCTCCAGTGCTTCTGAGGCTACAAGTCCAGGGACTACTCTGAAACTCCTATTCAGCAGATTCCTTACATCATGTACAGGTTTATAACTTGCAATATGCTGTCTGATCACCCCTTGAGATGCTTTGTGTATTATAAGTGTTCTTTTTTCACACGTGTGAAACCAGTCTCCCAGCTGCAATTACAGTAGTTAAAAAGTTTTAAACATGCCTTGGCATGCATATAGCTCAAAAGCATTCAAAAGAATCATGCCAACAGTTTACATCTCACAGTGTCTGAGCCACTGTTGTTCAGTTTTATTAGTCAGGGAGTTCTAAAGTATTCAGAGCACCTGCTTCTCTTCTCAGAAATCTAAGGAAACATCTCCAACTCCTGTGGCAGAGCCTGTGCTTCGGGCCTCCATGTGCAGCATACAGACGCCACCACCCAAACCAACATCCTCGGTAGGTGATGCCCTTAATTGAAAGGACCTTGAGCAAGTTCTGTTCTTTCTTCCCCAACTCTCTACTGTTTGTCACCATAATATTATCTCAAGAGAATGAAGCAAAAGCTAATGCAGAGTTGCTATTCATTGTTCTTTGAGCTTCAGGGCTATGCTGGAAACCTCATCTGTACTTAAATTATAACTCAGGTGCTGCCTGATGCTTTGCTTTTATCTTCTGAAACTCCTTGTACTTTCACAACTATCTCCAGTTGACCACTGATCACCCCTGTATCCTGCAGTTTGACAGAAAGCCCAGTGCCACATTTCTTCCTGGCTCTCCTGATAGAATGCTTTACAACCAAATCATGGCCACGGTCCTGCCCTGTTCTCCATTGGAAGGAAGATCACTGCATTCTTCTGCCAGGCCTTTGTTGTTTCCTGTCTTCTGCTTGTCTTCTAATTTTTGAATAAAAAATTTATCTAGTTATGTCTTCATTTACTTTTCATTTCTGTGGGGCTTGTTTCTATTCTCTGATGACTCAGAGACACTGCTTCACACTTATAAAACCTGAATCACAAATGGCTAGCTTTCCTCTTCTAGGACACATGTTCCAGATCTCTTGTGGCACTAACGATGGATCTGGGGCTTTACTCGTGCTTTATTCATGCTTTCCCGGCATCCCTTCACTGACCTATATCCCCTGATAGTCTCCTCATTTGATATTTATAAGGCTACTATAAAGTGTTTTCAGGCTTTATGTGGACCTTGAGCAGTGTACCTGTTATCCAGGTCATTAACTGTAATGAGAACAGGAAAAATGGCCCTGCTCTTGGATACATTTCAGCCTTCTGCAGATATGAGCCAGACCTCAAGTTATGACCCAGTCTGAACATTCCCATATGGAAAACAGGCCGGTGGGACATGAATGAAGGAGCCTTCTCTGGTAAAAGTTTACTAGGCTTCCATGAAGAGGGCAGGGACAAACTGAGAAGTGAGAATAGCAGCATTTCCTGGGAAAACAGTGAGGCATAAATGCAAAGCACTTGGTATGTTTGGGATGTGATTATTCAGGTGTATGCAATAACCGGCACCTACACAATGAAAAAAAAAAAGTAAATACATTAATGAATGGTGCTTATGCAGGCTAAGTGTGACGTGTTGTTCTCTGTTTATGAAAAATGTTCTGGCCAGGAAACATTCAACTAATTTTTAAAAGCCAGTAAGGAACAGTTATGACCCATACATAGTTTGGAAAGCCAGAACTGAGTCCTGTCTTTTGGCCCATACATAGTTTCTTCATTTCCTCTTACATCCCTCACTTGTGCTTCCTGTTCATTTGTTTCAATGTCAGTGTAGCCAAATCTGGCTTATGATGAATGAGTACATTTCATTTGGAATAGCAAGACTCAGGTGGGTGGTTCTCAGTATGTAATGAAGACAGTCAAGTCACAAGCAGGAGGATCCTGAACCAACTATTAGCCACTGTGACTAGCCAAAGCTCCAGAGAACAAACATATGCCTTCTCCCTGGGCTGGCCAGACTCCTTCGCAGAGATCCCTCCTTCTTTTCCTTCTGTCAGCTTCTGTTACGTTCTTTATATGCCTTTGTAATGAATCAAAATTCCAGCTAGATCTTGTAAGGTTTTCAGTGTTAGTATATAAATTACATACACAGTATTTAATATAAGAAACTTGTCCACTCCCAATCATGCCCTCCCTCCCTCATCTCCTCCAATGCCCCTTCCCCGGTCCACTGATAGTAGAGGACTTCCTGCCCTTCCATCTGACCTTAGCCTATCAGGTCTCATCGGGACTGTCTTTCATAGTCTTCCTCTGGGTTGGTAAGGCTGCTTCCCCCTCAGTGAGAGGTGATCAAAGAGCCAGCCACTGAGTTTATGTCAGAAACAGCTCCTGCTCCCCTTACTAGGGAGTCCATTTGGAGACTGAGCTGCCATGAGCTACCTCTGTGTAGTGGGTCTAGGGATAACACAAGTTATTAAAGATATGTAGACCTGGAATAAGTGCGTGCCTCTCTGAATTGGAAAGGGTGAGTAACCACTTAGGCTTATTCATGTATGTTCTTTCAGAAGGGCATGATGCCAGATGATGCTGTAGAAGCCTTGGCTGGAAGCCTGGGGAAACGGGAAGCAGATCCAGAAGATGAAAAACCTCTAGTGGATAAAGTCAAGGTAATCGCAGCTCAAATACTTCTACAAAATGAATTTTGACCATCCACTTCTGCCCTCCATTGAGTTAGTGCGTTGTTTTAAAAAATAGATCTGTAAAGCATAATCAGCTGTCTTCCTTTGATACTGCACATATCCTGTTTAATAAGCTAAACCATAGGAAGTTCCTGATCTACCATAGTGGACAGGTTATATGCCTGTGTCTAAGTTCCATGAACCAATCGCCCTTTGTCCACATTTATTCATCCCTTTCTGAGGAGTCACAGGAGAAGTAACATGAGACTAATACTCATCCCAACCTGCCCTTAGCCCAGCAGGCTGTATGCTGGTATCTGAGGCGACTAAACTGAAAACAGTGTTAAAGTTTAATCTCTTGAGGCACTCTTAACAATAAACATATGCATGTCTGAAGATAAGAATAGGTTACCTCAAATTTAGTCTCTGAGGAATGCATTGTAGAGAAGGAGACACTAAGAATGATACTTTTATTTAGGAGAAAGCTAAAGAAGAAGACCATGAGAAACTTGGTGAAAAAGAAGAAACAATTCCTCCTGATTATAGACTAGAGGAGGTTAAGGTAAACAGGATGAGTATTTTCCCATTTTGTTTTCTAACTGAATTTTGTATACATAAAAAGGTGCTGAGAACAGACCTGGAATATAAAGATCCCATTTCTTTATGTTGAAACTATACATTGTATTAGCACTAATACCTCTTGTCATTCTTCATCTATGCTCATATCAGGTCTCTATAGCGAGCATCTGCCTTCTAGGGTGAGACTTTAAAGTTCCCCTCCCTGCCACTGGATGATGAGTTAAAAAGTGGACTTCAGTGTTAATTCAGAGCATAGGCGCTCTAGGGTTCCATGCCTTACCTGGGATCTTTACTGCCTTTTCAGCTAAGGCATAGTCTAGAGTTTGTAGATTTCTCATTTTTTTTTTAATGGACCAAAGCTGCAATTGAATTCAGAGGGCAAGAAGAAAATTGTGTTAGCCATGAGAAAGCATGGGATAGCTCTAAACCATTACTCCACCACATTTGAACAGAAAACAAAGCAAAACACTTTCCCAGGAGAAATCCTCCTATGTACCCTTGTACTCATTTTTTATACGTATAAATGGAATTTATCATTAAATTATATATCACCTTTACTAAAGAGGCTCAAATCATTTTGTTCTATTACTCAAAAGTGGCACTTAAAATTATTTGAAGTATAACTAATCTCAGTCCCAAATTTGAGAGTACCCCGCCCGGAAGACAAGCTCCCTCAGGGTTGGGACTTCAGCAGATTTTTCTTATGGTCGCATTGTTTCCTTATAAATGAGAGGTTTGTTGACATACCCCTGAAACATGCTACTTTAATCATTGATATGTTTTCTTGCCAACTTCTTTCTAGTCTGTTGATTCCTTGTAATGTGCATAGGTTTCGTATTTGGGATAATGTGAAGAATAATTGATATCATGTTTTCACTCTGAATAGGGTAAGGATGGAAAACCACTCCTACCAAAACAGCCCAGGGAGCAAGTTCCAGTAAGCAACCTCCTTTCTCTGAACCTGTCTGTCTTCTGTGGACTCTGATTGGTAATCTGGGAAGGGGTAACTTTCACTGTTAGGGAACTCATCAGAATATGATATGGTGAATATTGAAGAGAAGTCATGCCAATGTTATTTTTGTTAATATATTTTTTCCTTCTTGCAGCCCTTGAGTGATGACTTCCTACTTGATGCATTGTCTCAGGACTTCTCCAGTCCTGTAAACATACCATCTCTTGTAAGTAGGAAGTACCTGATTCACTGTTTTTTTCTTTCTTTCTTTCTTTCTTTCTTTCTTTCTTTCTTTCTTTCTTTCTTTCTTTCTTTCTTTCTTTCTTTCTTTTTTTGTTTAGAGGTAGGGTTTCTCCATACACCTGGTTTTTTTTCGGAGCTTACTCTTTGGACCAGGCTGAACTACAGAACTCAGAGATCCACCTGCCTCTGCCCTCTGAGTACTGGAACTAAAGGCGTGCAGCACCACTGCTGGTGCTCTCCTTGGGAGATAAGATGGGGAAGGGCAACAAATGGTAACAAACATCAATGGTTCAACCCACAATTAAAAACTTCTCACACCTGAAATATTATTCTAGAGCATGGATATTTTCAACTGACTAATTGTACCAACAACTGGGTCTTATATTAAGTTTCCTTATGAAAACAGAATTTAAAATCAAATTTATCCCAAAATCACTTCTCACACAACCTCATAAGTTATGTTTTACCATTTATCTCTTTCCATATTGCCTCCTAAGAAATTTTAGCTTCCTGTAGAATAATAGTCACTCAAAAAAATTCTATTACCAGGTGATTTGGACAATGTTGAATAATGGCAAGCACATTCTCTTCTCTAGGATTTACATGGCTTACGCAAACATGTAAATCTGTTAGAGTTCCCAAAATTATATAGCCAAATCGTCCAGGCTATCTATTTATAGGGAATCTAGTTTTTCAGTCAATTTGTGTATTTTTGGCAGTCAGCTTGAAAACAGAGGAGTATGTTCCTATATGCACAATAGCATAGAATAAAGTATTGGTTGGGATAGTGAGAAAAAAGGACTCTTCAACTTTCTGCTATTCTTAGAACAGTAACTCCTATAGGAAGGGCCTGCTGCTTGTTGCACAATTTAAAAACATGGAACCATGCAACACTCCATCCCATGAGCTTCTCATTTTTCTTCTTATATTTCACAAAGTGGCACCCCAGACCTGACTGTGAAAGCTGTAAGATACAGAACAGGAAACAGGCGGGTCCTATCCCAGGGTTATGGAGGCACTGCCTTATCATGCAGAGTGCGAAGAAACAAGGCTTAGTACTGGCTCACTATTATTAACATGCTTAGAGTTATATCTCGATAAAACTCGATCTTTTTATTATTATTATTTTAAGTCTCAGTTTATTTCCTTTATATCCCAAGGGTGTCCCCTCCTTCCTCTCCTCCCAATGCCCTCTTCTCCTTCTTCCTCCTTTCCTTCCTCCTTTGCCAGCAGAAAAGGGGAGCATGCCCCTAGCCACCCCCCCCAACAACCTTCCCCAGAATATCAAGTTACATTAGGACTGAGCATATCTTCATTTCCTGAGGCCAAGCAAGGCAGCCCTGCCAAGGGGAGGTGATCCGAAAGCAGGCAATTACAGTCCATGTTAGAAACAGCCTCACCCCCTGCACTTGCCAGGCACCCCATATGAAGACCAAGCCACCCATTGACTACATGTGTGCAGGGGGCCTAAGTCTAGATCATGCATGCTCCTTAGTTGATGTTTCAGAAAGCCCACATGGGCCTGGGTTAGTTGACTCTGTTGTTCTTGTGAGATTCCTATACCCTCCAGGTCCTTCCATCTTTCCCTCAACACTTCCACAGGACTCCTGGAGCTTTACCCCATGCTCGGCTGCAAGTCCCATGTCTGATCCTTTGCTGGCTGGAGCCTCCCAGACAACAGTCAAGTTAGGCTCCTATCTACAAGCAAAGTAGATCATCATTAATAGTGTCAGGGGCTGGATCTCAGGTTGGGCCAATTATTGTTTGGACTTTTCCTCAATCTCTGTTCCCTCTTTATCCCTGCACTTCTTGTAGGCAGGGTAATTTTTGGATCAAAGGTTTTGTGGGTTGGTTGCTGTTCCCCTCCTTCCGCTAGTCCTGCCTGGCTAGGAGGTGATCACTTCAGTCTTCCCTGGTTAGGAGTCTCAGCTAAAGTCACATCCCCGGAACCCACCCTGTCTCATCCCTCCATCTTGACAAAGAGATGTCCCTGTCGGTTTCCCTTCTTTTTCCCAGCCCTCTCACCTCCCACCCCCATTCTCCCCACATCTGATCTCCACCCTTGTTTCCTTCCCCATTCTGTCTCCTGCCCAGTTCCCTCTCTTAATCCACTTCTGCTGTCTATTCTGTTTCTCCTTCCGAATGACATTCCGACACCCTCCTTGTTACTTAGCTTCTTTGGGTCTGTAGATTGTAGTATGGTTATCCTGTGCTGTAGGTCTAATATCTGCTTATAAGTAGGTGTACATACCATTTGCATCTTTCTGGGTATGGTTTACCTCAGTTAGGATTCTCTTTTCTCGTTCCATCCATTTGCCTGCAAATCTCATGATTTCTTTGTTTTTAATAATTGAGTGGTATTCCAAAACTTGATCTTGGGACTTTAATACTGAGTTATATGTATCCACCCCCTATCAGAGGCATGTCTAAGCAAATTTGAGATAAAGCAATTTACATTAAAAGGTATTTTTTTAAGAAATTAACAATCAATAAATAAAATCTTTAAGAAAAAGAAAACTAACAGTCAAAGGAAAAATTGTCTGTACGAAAATGTAATTAGTGAAATAGAAATAAGTAAGTATGGTATATGTCAAATAACAGACTAGAAAGTCAATTAGGACCACTGTTACAAACTCTAGTGGCAAAATCTCATATATCAGTTCGTAAAGTTCAAATAGCATGGAGTGACTACTGTATAGACCATTTTGTTGGTCATAGTAAAAATAGAACAGAAATTATGAGGAAAGCAGAATTTTAAAATAATTTGAGCCCGCATGGAACTTAGCAATGACTATATCAGGACAGAACATCATCCTGAGGGCTCACTGGCCAGAAACTTTTTCTTTTAAAAACATGAGTGTCAGATAGCAATTCTGTTTTTGTATTTTAACGCCAATCATTACTTGATTCTTATAAATGTCTTATATCTTAAAATGTACTGGGGGTATCAGAGAGGACAAAGATTATGGTAAATTCTAATGTAGAAATGAGAAAGGTGTTACAGACAGTATATGAGTTAAACTGGTTGTGGGAGAAACATTGTGCACAATACTTTTAAAGAAATTCAAGACAAAAGCAAAATCAGTACAATTAATAAATCCTAAACAAAAGCAAGGCTAAAGAAAACACTAAACTGAAACGAAAAACTAAAGAACTGCTCTCAAATTCCTTCTATCAGAAATTAATTCTTCTCAATGTTAGTACCTAGGTAGCCCCTATGTGATAGAAATATGCCATGAAAAGGATGATAGTCTACAAAAGGCTTCTTACAAATCTCATCAAGTATGATAATGCCGGGAAAGGTGACTTTATTTGATAGGTATAAAAGTATTGATAGGCACTATAACAAGTTTTGAAGTTATTTTTTGCCAAAATCATAAATATGAATTGACAAGAAAATTGTCAATATAACACAGTGATATATCCAGTAGAAACAATCAAATAATTATGTCCATATAAAAGATATATTTAAAGGCCAGGCATAGTGGTGCATGACTGTAATCCCAGCCAGAAGCAAGTGTATCTCTGAGTTCAAGGCCAGCCTGGTCTATATAGTGAGATCATGTCTCCATGATCAAACCAGGACTGGAGAGGTTGACTCTGTCGTTCTTGCAGAGGACCCAGATTTGATTTTCAACACTTACATAGCTGCTCACAACCACAAATCTTGGCCCAGGTGGTCTGATGCCTATTTCTTACCTACACAGACAACAGGCACACACGTGCTGTACATATGCAGGTAAAGCACGCATACACGTAAAATAAATCTTGAAAACAAAACTATATTTGAACTTTAAAATACATTCATGCCTTCAATAAAAACCTTGAGAGAGTGGCATCCGTTAATTGTGTCTGTTCACTTTCAGTAACATACATTTAATATAAAACCAGGGACATCTTCTAAAATTATGAAATTTTGATTTCTCTTACATTTTATAAGGAAAAGTCATGTGTGCTGGTTTCTTATTAAAAACAAATCAGTAGATAATAGGAAGTTCTAAACTTACATAAAAAACATAAAATAAAATAGAATAAAAAATAAAAGCATAGAAATAGGAATATATACATCAACGATGGCTTAACTTTTCTAAAAGAATGTATAGTTTATAATTTACTTTGTTAGTAAGTGTCCCAATGATATGTGCTATAACTCAATGAAATTATTCTAAAATGTCTTTGAGAAGTAAATATATAAAAATATGACAACATACATATTTTAAAGTGTTTTTTGTATTATTAATCCACTAAACATCTGGGCCTTTGTTACAGTAATGATAAGTAAACCATGGCCCTAGTTCTGAGAGTAAACTTACAGCACAGTCCACAGGAGAGAAAAGGAAACTGGTGTAGATAAGGAATGCAGCATGTTGAAGGGATCCAGAGAAGAAACTATTATCTCAGAAAGTTTCTGAAATAATTTGTTGTCCATCTTTTCAGGAAAACCACTGCTGATGGCCTAAAGCATATAGCACAGTATGTCAGTGAGAGCAGTGTAATATGCCACTGTGTAGTCCACACTGAGTATGTGTCATAAAAGTTTAATTACGACAGGCTACTGTCCATTGTTTTCAGGAGGATGCTTTCCATTTAGACAGGGTCAATGCTGTGGATTTTAAAGACCCATTTATTTAAAAAAAAAAATAATGAAGTGTCTGTTTCTAAATAGTAGAAGAAAGTGTTTTGAAATTTTTTACCATAAGGAAATGCTAAGTATTTTCAGAGGTAGATTTAACCTGATTTAAACATTGTATAATATATAAATGTATTTTATCATTGTTCTTTACTATATGAATTTATACAGATTTTCCACTTTTGTGTATTGTAGTTATAACCTTACATCCAACATGTTAATGATACTTTTTTTTTAATAAAAGGAATTTGAAGATGCCAAACTCTCTGCTGCCATTTCTGAAGTGGTTTCCCAGACGCCTGCTCCTAGCACCTATGCAGCAGCCCTACCACCTGACACTGAGGTGAGCAACATACCTTCCTTGGGAAATATTGTTACAAGAGCAACAAGAAAGAAAATAAGGCACATGTCTAGCACAAATGAAAACAGGAAAAATTATTAGAAAGATCTGACACCTTGTATTACAGAAAGACTTAGATTGGTGATTCCAGGAGACAAGCCATGTCTCTGAGGTGACAAAAAACAAACAAACAAACAAACAAAAACATGAAAATATTTAACTTCAGCCTAGAAACTTAATGTTGCTGTTACTGTATCAGAATTGTGAGCAGTGATATGTGTGTGTGTGTGTGTGTGTGTATGATATATGATACATATATATCTTAATTGCTAGATTAAAAAATGCCCTTTGATTTTTCTCAAAACTGATTTCCTTTTTTCTTTCCTGATCCATGCTGTAAGTTACTACCCATCATTTAATCCTACTTGTTACAGGAAGTAGTTCAGTATTTGAGCTGTTCCAAGAAAAAAATGACAGGTGTCTCATGGAAACCATTTGTTTTTCTATCATTTCAACAATGAGAGTCTGTCATTTTCTTATCAGCAATAGAAAATCTACAGCATCAGTATAGCTTTAATTATTTATGTGTTGTGAGGCAAGGGTGGGACCCAAAAGCTTTCCTGACTTCTTTGTCTGTATTGCCAAACCATACATTATCCATTGAACATCAAAAATCAAAGGGACTGTCCTTAACCCCAGTCTCATCCTCTCTGCCTCATTTGCTAAGTGAAGTTCCCTCCTGAAGTCAGCTTTCCTTCCTTTCCTTTGGTGTGATATCAAAGCTTCCTTAATGCAGTGGTCTTGGATTCTGGTGAATTTTTATCCTGTTGGGTCAGTTCAAGATCATCTGAAAATGCCCAGAGACAGAGATGACAAAGCCCACACCAGCCACAGGTAGCTGTGTTCCTGGGCTCTAGGAGAAATTGATTGCTTAAAACAAGCAAAATGCTCTCTCTGTGTCTGTTTCTCTGTCTCTGTCTGTCTTTCTCTCTCTCTTTTTCCTTCCCCTCTCTTCTCTTCTCTTCTCTCTCTCTCTCTCTCTCTCTCTCTCTCTCTCGTGCGTGTGTGTGTGTGTGTGTGTGTGTGTGTGTGTGTGTGTGTATTTATCTTCAGGAGAAAAAGATGCAACAAAAAGAATCAGAATCATCAGTAAACCAGGCCACTTTCATCACTTCAGTTTTCAGCTCAGTCCAGAGTTCCCTGAATATGAGTCACAGCCTGACTTTCAGTATATTTTACAATGATTCCTTTTCCTTTACTTTTCCCATTAGAGAAGTGTGTGTGTGTGTGTGTGTGTGTGTATGTGTGTGTGTAGGATATCAATAAAACTAAGTGAAAACCTCTATTTTAATGAATTATATGTGAGCATCAGAGTCAACTAAACTATCACAATTCATGCAAACTTTCTTTGCAAATTCTAATAGCCTGTCATGAAAATTGCGTATGTGCAGTATCCTGAAAATAGTTTTAAAAAGCTTTATGATTAAATCACCCTTGCATGGAAGCCTTTATTGCCTAGAAAAACATAAATGTGACTGATAATGGCAGAGAAAGGTTCATTGTGCTTTCAGTCCTAGTACCTGTGTCCATCACCTGTTAGCAATGTGTTTTAGCACCCAGCTTAGCTTCCATGCGCTCGCTTCTCCAGAAACATACTGTTGTGTTGCCAAGAGGATTCCTATGGAGAGCAAGTAAAACCGGAGAAAGTACAATAGCACCTTTTCAGAACAACTACAGAATACTGCAGGACACAGCCCAGCAGGGTAACTTGTATAATATAGATGTTAAACATATTTTAGTGGAATCTGTACGGATAGAAACTAAATTCATATAGGAATAGATAGCCAACATATTGAGCCTATTATGTTAAGAATAGTTTGAAAAATTTGGTAGAACTTCGCTGCAATGACATGATCAATAATAATCCATTATTTATTTATTATTACTGACTGCCGACATACAGTCCTGACAGCATTGTGACTTGTAGATATTATCACTCACTTTTCCCAGCTGAGAAAACTCAGGTTTGGGAGGTTACTTACCTTCTCTGGAGTGTTGTTCTGTTTAGATTGAACTGTCACCATAGTTCAGTGGTCAGTTTCTTGCCCTAGAACACCTTCTATTAATTTCCTCAGTTTAGCCTTCATAGGCTTCCTGGAGGTAAAGAAAGAGATTCCCCGCTAGTTCAGAAGTTCTCAGAAGTCTTTTTGGGAATCCTCATAACTTGTTAGAGACAACCTCTTCAATCAATGACACCAATCATATTTTTGTGCTCCAAGAAGTGGCAGGTTAATGGTGCTGAGTTTTATGTGCTCCCACCCTCATTCATGCTCTTCTGAAAACTCTTGCTTGATGGCCTTCATCAGTGGATTAAAATTAAGTTTGATTTTTCAATGGAAGAAAAGTGCTGTCTTTGTTTTTGGAGCCTCTAGGTAAGATGTAGGTCACTTACTTGGGTGCAGCTTCCAATACTTCTAAGACTTCCTTAACCTGGTAGTATTTTGGGTAGTGGAGGCAGATGTTTTCACTGCCCTTTGTCTCTTCCACTACCTCTAGATAGTCAGTGACTTCCTCCTAGATGTCCATATGAGGAGATAGGGTTACTGGGTGACATCCCTGAGCAATTTGGCCAACTTGTAAATAATTCAGAATTATTTACCTTTTAGCAGAGCAACAAAGACATCGATGAAGCCTTGGATAAACTTTCTGACAGTCTTGGGCAAAGAGAGCCTGACCCAGATGAGAATAAGCCACTGGATGATAAAGTGAAGGTAAAACATAGCCCCCTACTATCCAAAGGAAACAAAACAAAACAAAACAAAACAAAACCAGACACTCTCACATTGTCTGGAGGTGGTAGACAGCTAGGCCATTCCATCTAATTTTCTTGTTTTATTGTATAGGTTGCATTTCTTTTTCTCATTGATGATTATATTTGTCATATATAGATTCCATTGCAGGAAACATCCTGTTTATGAAATGAAAGCACAGCTACATTTTGTTTAAGTATTTTGTCTTCCAATATCTTTTTCTTGGTCTTATTTGGGAATTGGGACACACCACTGAATAGACATATACTTGTTGAGTTAATGTACTTTGCATTCATAGTGGCAAAGATCACATGCTTAGCACAGGTTTCCCCTGTACCTCTTTTGCAAGCATAACTGAATCTAAATTCAAACGGTGTGCGAGAGCTTTGATTCTGCAGAGGTATATCTGGAAGGGCACAATGAACTAACTATGCACTATATACAGTGTATATAAACATTTATGTTTAAAACAGTATTTAACAAGCCATTTCAACTGACTTGATCATATTTTAGAATCAAGAAGTAACTGGAGTTGGGGAGATGGCTCAGAGGGTAAAGTACTTACCACACAGCCTTACAACAAGAGTTCAAATACTTGTAGTACTAGTGTCTGTAATTCCATCCCCTACAAAGCAATGGCAGGCACAGACAGGAGAGCTGCAGGAACCTTGTGGGCCAGCTAGCCTAGTGTATGCATTGGAAGAACAATAAACCCGATATCAAAGTAGAAGCTGAAGAATGACATTTGAGGTTGTTCTCCAATCTCTACATGCATGCTATGGCATGCACATGCTTGTGCATGTGTACATGTGCACACATACAAATCATACACACAAATAATAAAATACTAAAGGAGAAGTAACTTTCTGAACATCTGAAACAATATCACAGAGAAGACATTTTCATTGTCATTCTGTCATCATAGTAGGAATATCAAGATTAACTTAACCTATACTTTAAAACCTGAACTGTAATGCTGCACAGGGATGAATCTGTACTCCGTAGAATCTGTGATAGAGACCAGGGAACCGGACAGGTAGGGATGCCATGATGGTGCTGTGCACAGCCAGCAGACCCTTCTGTCTTGCTTCTTTACAGTGCTTTAAAATAGAGCTGTAAATATTATCTCTGTCTGTCAAGGCATGGGGACTTGACTTTTAATTTAAAAAGCAAAATTTAATCAGAAAAAAAATATTTAATTTTTTGGTCTTTAAGCTACCAGTAAGGTTTCTGAGGATTGCTATTGATCCTTTTAGTTGAAAATTCACAGATATGGACTGACATATAGAAAACTACAGATTCACATTTTTTGTTAGCTCTCTCCTTAGCTTCTACTGTGTTACCCTGTTCCTTATTTTGCTTCAGAAAACTAGAAAAGCTGTTGTTTCTGTACTTTCAATTTTATTTTGTAAGTGAAGAAGGAAATGAACATCCTTTCATCTTTTCAATGTTTGTAGGAAAAAGTCAAAATGGAACATAGGGAGAAACTGGGAGAAAGAGATGACACCATCCCACCTGAATATAGGCACCTCCTGGACAATGATGGGCAGGTAAACTAAGGCAAACTACCTATATTCGCTCACTGCTGCTCTAAAATTTTCAGTTAGCACTTCTCTGGAAGTGAATGGAAGCTGTACTCTTAAAGTAACATAAAGACACATTATCACTGAGTACTTTTAATGTCCCTCCAGAGGTGACAAGCAGACTTTCTACCCCTCTGCTACATCTACTGGAGAAGGTCTTATTCAATATTCATGTTGGCCCTGCTTTAAAAACACTGTTGAGTAATACTGGTTCTTAATAATGATTCCAAGAAATAATATAGTTACGAATTAATTTTTCAAGAAAAGGCTCTAAAAATGACAGAAGCAATGAGATGTCAAAACAAGCAGTCTATGTATAAAGAGAATAGAGGAGGGGTGGTGATGGAAAAGCTGTAAGGTCAAAGAAACAAGACAGTCCCATACCCTGGCCTTCCTTCTCCCACACTAACTCCAGCATTGCAGAGCCAGACGACAGGCAAAATGTTCTTTGTAGTCATCAGATCTGTTTCTCCATCACAGAGTATTTAGATTTTGGCTTTCTTAACAATCTGATAGCCTCCACCTTTCTGTTTGAGTTGTTAGAAGATAAATGATTCTTCCCAGGCCTGCTTATCACCTGGAAACAAGGGAGTCCAATTTCCATTTAAATGTTCTGATGTCTTTGGTGGGAATCCCCTCCCTGTCCAAAGCCTCAGTGAATGCTGGAATAAGGAGTATTACTGGCAATTCTGCATCCTGCTATCATCCACCATCCCCCCCAAGTTGATATTTCTACATCATCTTGCTTGCAATTGAAGGTGCTTCATTTAGCTCTTTTGCCTTAAGATGAATAAAAACCCTATACGTTAGTGGTTCTTAAAACTCCGGACTGAAAATAATTGTCAGTTCTTTCGAAAATATAATGAGCAACAGCAAAATATAAGGCATATAATGAGTTATTTGTTAAGGTCAAGGAAGAAGCATTGGAAGTTCAAGGCCAGCCTGGGCAACTTAGTTTTTTAAAGCAATACAACAACAAAGCAAAAAAGAAAAAAGAGGGCTAAGCATGTAGCTCAGTAGAACTCTTGCCTGGAATGTATAAGACTCTGGGTTTATTTCTAAGACTACCCAAACAAAACAAACAAACAAACAAAAACAACCAAAATATCTTGTGGACGTAAATTTTAATACCTGGTGGCAGAAAATTCCTACATAGTCTCTGTGTCACTTCCAGAACCACATACTTGCAACTCCATAGCTACTGAAATGGCTATGAAAGTAAAGATCTGGTAGAGATTTGGGTTAAGTGCCCAGTTCATCAATTCTGTATAGTCCTTAAATAATAGATTCTAAAAATACTTTCTGTGACCAATTGGACCCATACAGAGATCTGTGGTTAACCAAAACTGCCTTGTTTTTAAGGACAAACCAGAGAAGCCACCGACAAAGAAATCAAAGGTAAATACTATAATGTGTACTTTCATTGTTTTTATTATAGATCTAGCCTTCTTTTAAATTTAAAGAAACTAAAATTTGTTAAATATCTTTGTCCTATGCCAACATGTGCAGGTAAGCCTATAATTACTAACTCTAATTGAAAATAGTGGCAGATTTTCCAGTGAGAAAACTTGTAGTGAAGAGTGTAAAATGAACATGCCTATAACCTCAACAAATGGATAAGAGATACAGGAAAATAAGAAGTTCATGGTTACATAATGAGTTTGAGGTTATCTTGGGCTACATGAGACTGCTTTAAAAAAATGAGAAAATAAAGATGCTTAGGTTTTCATGCTTTATGTCTCCTTTACATAGTGTTTTTAGGAAGTAATTGCCAAGAAGCTTTTCTTCTTAAACATATTTTACTTTTAAGTATGTGAGAAGTTGCTCTATGGCTATCTCCAAGTGTCTCTACTAATGTCTTAGAAGCCAGATCAGGACCAGGACCCCATAGATGCCCTCTCAGAAGATTTGGATAACTGCCCCTCAACTGCAAAGACATCACAGAATACAGCAAAGGTACCTATACGTCTTCATACTGATTTCTTTGAAGTACACATTTATATGGATTTTTAGTGTGGAATCAGTAGAATAATCTTATAGAGAACCTTAAAATAAAGAAAATTTATAATTCTACTGCCCGTATACCACTATTTAATGTATTTTCTTGTCTTTGTCAGTAAATAATTTTACAAAATTGTCCTCATGGTTTGTTTATTACATAGTTTAACAGCATTTCACCAGGGTTCTTCATGTGGCCTGTAATCTCCAAAGTCATCGTTTTTGGTTGCCACATAGCTTTGTGAGTGACAGGAAGTGTCTGTGTTCATTTCTCATGACAGTCCTTGAGCCCCTAGACCCCCTTCTAGCCGTGTGATCTATGGAGTTTCCTCCTCTCTCTCGTGGTGTAGCTTGCTGACAGACTTTGCAGGGCCAGTTGTGGTCGTTGTCCCGTCTCAAGGCAGCCTGGCAGCCTTTGTACTCTCTCCTCCTGCATGTGGTCACCTGGCACCGGGCTGCCTATGTCCCACTGGAGCTGGGTATTGTGTAAAGTACTTGGATCTTTGATTTCTGTGCTCATGTTTGCAGAGTGCTGATATTTAAAAAGTTCTCAGAACATGTAATTTGAACATAATAAAAAATTAAGCCCATTATTTTGTTTAATATTTATTAATAAAACGAATGAAAGCAAATGTGTAATTTAATAATTGTGAGGCACTTAACTTACAGAGCACATCTGATAAATCACACAGAAGGAAAGATGGATATTGCAGTCTGTTTACTGTTGTTTCAGCTGCTTTTAAAAACAACTTTGGACTGAAACATCACACCTTCCATAGCAAGTGATTTAATTTACAGACTCCCTCTGCCTCTTACTTCTCTCTTCTGGAAACTAACTAATGCTTCTGTCTTCTTTCCTTTCCTCTTTTCTTCCTCATTTCCCCTTTATTTTCCCATTCTTTTCCTCTCCTCTCCTCTCCTCTTCTTTCCAATTTATTATTTCCTGTTGTGTCTTTTTTGGTAAATGTACTGTGCTTTTGCAGGGAACCTATATAACTTTCTGTAACCTTTTTCATTGTTACATTCATTTCTCTAACACTGAAATCAGCTGTTTGTGGTCCTATTTTTGTTGTTTTCATCCATATCAAAAAAAGCCACTCTAAGTTAAAAAAAAATGCTCTGATTTTTTTTTTTAACCTTTAGTTTTCTAAAATAAAATTGTGGGTATACATTTGCGGTTCAAAGACTTGACGGGATATATTAAACGCTATTGAGACCCACAGGTCCCTCTTATCTGTAGCCTTACTTATGTCCTGCCTAAAATATGGGTACATTCGCTGCTATTTTAAAAATCAGTACCAAGTACCATTTTTATTCAGTTATGTTGGGGGTGTACAGGCTGCTAGAAAAAAAAAAATATTTGGATTCATCTGATGGCAGATGTGCTCAATGTCTCCATGATGGCAGCAGCTTCATTACATTTCCTCCATTGCTTTAGGAGAAGAGCAAGAAGACTTCGGGTTCCAAAACACCGAAGAAGGGAGTGAAAACAAAGGATTCCTCCAAGGTAAACAAGACCAATATTAGCTTAACAATTGCCAAGGAAGTAGGATTCACCTGTTAGTGATTTAGCTTGATATTGTAAGCCATTTAGAACAAAAGAAATAACTATCCCCTAGCAAGCCTTAAAAAGAAAACAAAAAAAATCTATTGGGGTTTGGAGCAGTGGCTGAGCTGCTAAAAGCAAAGCCACATGTTGGGTTTGGTTCCCAACATAGACCTTGGCTTACAACCATCTGTAACTCCTGTTCCAGGGGATAGGATGCCCTCTTCTGGCCTATGGGGCACCAGGCATACCCATGGTGCACAGGTATACATGCAGGCAAAAAAATGGAACACATAAAATAAAATTTTAAAATAAATATTTTAAAAGTTATTTAAATTGAAGCTTTAAAGACAGGAACACATATTGTAAATGTGTTTACATATCTTTTTAAGTAACTGGTATTTTGAAAATATAAATGAAATGTGTGTCCTTAACCTAATTCAAGTGGCATGTGGTTCTTGCTATTATTACAGTACCTCTGGAGCATGTGATTTACAGAGATGTTAGAATATGGAGTATTTTTCTTTTCTGGTTCCATTTCTGATGCTATAATAAAATATTCTGACCAAAAGTACCTTAGTGGAGGAAGGTTATTTGGCTTACACTTCCAGGTCACATTTGAGCGCTGAGAAAAGTCAATTACTCTGGCAGAAACTTAATGCAGAAACCATAAGAGAACACTGCTTGTTAGCTCTCTTACAGACCCATGCTGAGCTAGCTTTTTGTTGTTGTTGTTTTTCAATAGCCCAGGCCCATTCGTACAGGGATCAAGGCTGCGCACAATAGGCTCAGCCTTCTTACATCAGTTAACAATCAAGACTGGATCCTCCACAGACATACCAACAGAGCAGTCTTTTTTTTTTTAATTTTATTTTTAATTTTATTTTTTTTCTTATCAGTTAAATTTTATTAACTCTGTATCCCAGCTGTATCCCATTCCCTCATTCCCTCCCAATCCCACCCTCCCTCCCTCATCTCCACCCTGCCCCTTTCCAAATCCGAACCTGTTTTATCAGGTATCTTCAAGACTGGCTGCAAAGTCCTCCTCTGTGGCCTAACAAACAGACCAGTCTTAACTGAACAAACTTTCAACTGAGAATCAGTCTCAGGTGACTCTACGCAATGTCTAGTTGACAGAGCTAACTAGGATAGAAGATAATTTATAAAATTAGGGAAGATATTGGGGTACTTCAGTCCAATATATTAGTTGGACAATATTTGATGGGATTAGTAAATGAGACAATTCATATAATGACCAGAAATATATCACTGTATACTTGAGATAATAAGTTACAAAGAGAAAAGACTGAGTCTGGTCCATGGTTTTAGAGGCTCCTCCTTATTATTGCTTTGTTCTTCTGTTGATGCAGTGCTTTATAATAGGAGTCTGTGGGGGTTGGGGGGTTCAACTGCTTATTCCAGAATTTAGGAAACACAGAAGAGATGGGGTGCCATAACTTTGAGTGAGAAAGGGGCACATGCTCAATGGCCTAAGGCTCTGCCTTGTGAAAGTCTGTAGCACCCTTCAGTAGTTCCCCCTGAGGCCAAGAATTTTATACATGGCTCTTTAAGGGGCATTTGATATCCAGTTCATATAGCAGATAGTTGTGCAAAGTAGAATAAAAGCGAATGGGTGGAAGTTACAGGTTCAAGTTAAGTGTTGAGAATTAGGCATACGTAGCACAAGAGTTGGACACTTCATATCACTAAACTTCCTCAAGCTGTAGTCAGGATGGAAACTGGCTCAATCTTTAAGTTCCTTCCAATTCCATGTATGACTTAGATAACTACAATCTTCTGAACATAATAAGAAATTAAAGGTACTACCTTAATAGTCTAATTGCATTAACACTCTTTTGAGATTATAATATAATTAAATCATTACCCCATCCCTTTCCTTCCTCCAAACTCTAGAATATATCCATCCTTGCTTTCTTTCAAAATTATAGTCTTTTTTTTTCATTGATTGTGTCAACACTTCTTAAGAACAAACTAATGAACTCTTCATGTAATTGATTTTATCACAGGATACAAGACTATTATGTCTCAAATAAGTTAAATTTTTTAATCCCTTATAATTTAATTATAGTTATAAAAATTATTGATCAACCCATTCACACAAAGCAGAAGTATAGTCACCCTACACAGAAGGGATTAGCCAGCCAGCTTCCTCCCAGTGAAGAAAAGGGTGCGGCCACCGTGGGATGGGAACACTGTCATTCTAATTCCAGAAATACTTCTGCATTTGAAACTTTTCTTATAGAGTCTATTAAAAAATAAGTTTAAAGTGAGAAATGTAGAATCAATTAAGGCTACTCACAGCCTATAACTTAAAAGCTGAGTTCAAAGGACAGAGCATGTTTGTGTCAAATGAAGAAAAATAGAGATGAGGCCATTTTGTCTTTTGTTGTTTAATCCCCAGGTGCTCATTTTCTTATTAACCTTTCCTGATGAGTTAGTTGTTCAGCACTGATTTAGAGATGAAAGCACTCATTATAGCTTTGCTTCCCCCTTAGACAGAGGAAGTGTCCAAGCCAAAGGCTGACGAAAATGCAAGCTAAAGTTCACATATTTGGTAAGTTGAATTTTCATTGTAAATAGCAATAACTGTCCCTTCTAGCAACCAACATTATGGGGAGTGACAGGAAGTATTTCTTTTAAGTATTTTATACTTGTGGAGTACTCTCAGGAAACACATGTTGCAAAATTCAAAGTATTCCACTTTCTAAAAAGCCCTAAAGGAATTATTGTGCTACTAAAACTTTTTTTTTAAAGTATATGATTAAGAATTCTTTAAAAAGCCAGGTGGTGCATGCGTTTAATTCTAGCAATCTAGAGGCAGAGGCAGGTGGAGCTCTGAGTTCGAGGACAACCTGGTCTGCAGAGAGTTTTAGGATAGCCAGGGTTCCAGAAAGAATCCCTATCTTGAAAAAGCAAAACAAAACAAAAAGAACACTTTAAAGCACTCAGACTTTTAAGGATCATACACTAGAAGCTAGTAGACTCTTTGAAATCCAAATGGTTGTGCAGGTTTTTGCTGCAAAGCATATTAACACATTAGGATTTGTAGCAACATGGCATTAATGGATATCTGAAATAACAGTGCATGCTGAGTGCTGGAAATTACAGAGTTTGGGAATTTAACCTTTTAACCTTTCTGTTTGTCTCAATTTTGGAAAGAACAATGATTGATTCTGACCTATTCTTCAATAGATGGGCTCTGGCCTTCCTAAAAGACATAAAATAAAATTGCATGCTCAGCAAAGCTAAAAAACAAAATAAAACAGAAAAACCCAAACCAAACCAAAACAAAAAAAAACTGCAAACCACCAAAAACCTTAAATGGAGCTGGCACAGTGCTTAGCAGGTAAAGATGCTTGCCACCAAGGCTGACGCAAGTTCTACTCTTGGGAGTTGTTAAGTACAAAATCACTGAAGAGAGACCACCACTCACATATGCAGTTGGCAAGGGTGTTTTATTTCACAAAAACCTGCAAGCAAGGGTCAAACCATTTTACAAAATGGTGACCTTAGAGAAAGGCTCAAAGGCCTTTCTATAGGAAACTAGGGGAATTCTAGCAACGGTTAGGTAATCTAAAACTTCATTGGTGGGTGCTGGGGAATTACAAGGGTAAATTCCTAACTGGCTTTCATTCAGGTGGTCAGTGGGCTGCATTCCTTTGCCATGAATGTGTGACTACAGGATGTGAGATAAGGCTCCTCAGCACAGATGCCCCATTCTGGGATAAGATATTTTTTCATTCTTGTGGTTATCTCCAGGCTGTTCCTTGGGTAGGGGATTTTATGGTCTTGTTCCTGGAATTGGTGACCTATAGAATAATTCCTGGGACTGATGACTTTTCTTTTATTATTATCATTTATTACAGTTTATTCAATTTGTGTCTCAGCTGTAGCCTCTCCCTCGTCTCTTCCCAATCCTACCCTCCCTCTTTCTTCTCCTCCTATGCCCCTCCCCCAGTCCACTGACAGAGGAGTTCCTCCTCCCCTTCTATCTGACCTTAGCCTATCAGGTCTCATCAGAACTGGTTGCATTGTCTTCCTCTGTGGACTGGCAAGGCCACCCCACCACCACCTGGGGAAGGTAATCAGAGAGCCTACCACTGAGTTCATGCCAGAGAAAGTCCCTGCTCCCCTTGCTAGGGAACCCACTTGGAGACTGAGTCTATGGGCTACATCTGAGCCAGGGTTTTAGGTCCTCTCCATGTATTGTTTTTTTGTTTGGGGAATCATTCTCTTCAGGGCCCCCAGAGCTCAGTTTTTATGGCTCTGTTGGTCTTCTTTTGGAGCTCCTATCTCCTCCAGGTCTTTCTATCTTTCCCCTTCTTTCATAAGATTACCTGCACTCTGATCGAGGTATTGGAGCAGGGACTGAGACTCATAGCCAAACTTTGGGCAGAGTGCAGGGAATCTTATGAAAGACAGGGGAGACGGAAAGACTTTTAAAGGGAGGCCTGGTCCTAAAATGGAGACAAAGTGGAGTTTATGTCATCCTCCCAGAGCCACACGATAGATTCATGAAAGTGGCTCTCTGACTTCCACGTGCACACCATGACATACACACACTCAGTGAAAATGAAAAGCGGGATTTGTATCTTAACAAAACATGGGTTAAGTCAGGTCCAGCTCTCTTACCAAGGTCCGCTTTGTTTCCTGGAGAGAAAACAGCACACTAACTAGAGCAGGTGTCCTGGTGTACTGATTTTCTTAGAGTTACCTGACGACTTTAATTAATAACCCACTCATATTTCCTTCTATTTTCAGGGGATCTAAATAGAAATTCTTCAGTTGGTGGACGGTGACTTTTGAAGAACAAAGGCTTTGGTGACAATTTTTCTGGGTGGCATCTAGACAGTGGTATTTGTTATATCTTTTGACATCTCAGACATTGGTTTGATTTTTTTTTTTCCAGAAAGAAAATGAATTTGTCTGGGTCACTTGTGTTCTGTATTGAGTATTGATACCTTTCAAAGATTTTTAATTACCTTTGGGTGGGAGAAGGAAGCTTTATATTTGTAAGAAATATATTTGATAGTTTGCTAAAATGCCAAAAATCCCAAAAAAACCTTTGCAGACTTTTGCACATTATACACACAGTGCCTATAAATCTCATTAGTATTTTTGGTTTGCATTTAATTTTTTTAGCATTTGAAAAGTAATGTTCTCTTCTTTTGTCAGTATTCTGATTCCTTATTACTTTTTTTTCCTCTTGGGCTTTTGAACTGTATTTGATGTATCTTTGGGTTAATGTTGATAACCCAAATATAAAATATTGTACATTGGGCACATTACTATTTTGGGGCTGCTAATAAATTAATGATGAATAACCTAGATAAACATTGGGAGCAGCAGTCTCCTTTCCTGCCGGAATTCTTCTTTACTAGGAATGAGGACTTCTACTCATGGTCAGACACACTGTCTAGGACACACTGAGACTTGAACTAAGTCAGCAGACAAGCAAAGCACAGGCGAGAGACGTCACTGCACAGAAACATTCAGCAATGAAATTGGAATTTTTAGAATACTCATATGTCTTGAAACTATAATGGTTTACCATGGCATGAAACTGTGGTTTCCACTAGCTTAGCGAAACCCAAAATTGTAATCATTTGCTTAGAGCGATTTGCTACAGTCTGTAACATTTGGCTTATGGAAGTCAACTTTACCAAACACAAAAATGAACTTCCTTAAAAACAAGATATACATACACACAAATGTGTGTATGTATGTATGTATGTATACACTGAAATTTAAAATCACCTTCAATACCAAAGCAAGTTAAGGTATCCTAACACCTTTGAATAGTATCTCAGATTTTTCTGGGTACTGCACTGGTATCATTGATGGAAATTTGATAAAGGTTTAATTCCATTTCTATTCCCTGGCAATGAATGCTGGAAAAAAAATATTAAGTTCAATTTTCTTGTTTCTAGAGATCACAGCCTTCTTTGCCATCAATGTAAAAGTTTTATTCGGATTTAAGCCCAAGCAAAGGTAATAACAATCATGTTAGTCTCCAAGTACTCTCTGCAAATCATGCAGGTACCTGTTACATTTCAGAATCTACCCGCAGAGTGTTAAAATCCCAGTCTCATAAAAAGGGCAGCCCTGACAAGAATATACTCCTTGATCACTCTGAACTCATTGGTGTCAATCCTTGTATGTCGGCAGGATAGGTGTTAGTCTGCTCTTTGTTCCTAAAAACATGCTGCAACCTTTGGCACTGACAGATATACTTCCAAGGCTGTAGTACACAAATTTCCATGCACATATAGGAATATTTTCAAATGATGTCACAAAACATAAGTTTAAGAGTGCCTTTACAAAAACACACACATTTAAGGTTTTAATTAGGATTGTCCTCAAGACTTGAGGATTTGCTGGTAACTTAGTGTCTTGAGGAAGCCACAGGATCTAAAGGAGTCCTTTTTTTTTTTTTTAACCTTTTATGTTTTAAATACTAGTAAGGAGAAAATAATTGCAGATATCGCCTTAAAAGTAGATAACAGGTGGTTGTTATTACCCAAAAGTTGCTGCATATATAATATTTTATCTGTTTAGAAAATGGGCTTTTCCAAAACTGAAGGAGACCAAAGCAAAAATCAGCATTTGTGTTTCATTAATCAAGATATAAAATGCAATTAAAGAAAAATATTTTAAGTGAAAATCTTGGCTATGTGTTCTTTTTAAGATGTAGTGTGGGGAAAAACTACCAGTGAATTATTTTTATTTTATTTTCAAGCCATCACATGCAGTCAATATAAAAATAGAATTGTAAACACATCGATTGTTGTTTGGATATGAAGGGTCCCACCAGCTGGCTCAGGTGTTGAAGTCCTGGCTCCCAGTTGGTGGCAAGAGTAAGAGAGGGAACTAGATCATGAGGGTTCTGCTCCTTCATGGATTAATCCATCTGTACTTACTATTCACTTATATAGCTTCATACTTGAATGAGCTATTAGGAGGTAGGTCCTAGCTGGAGGAAGTAGGTCCAGTCTCTAATTGTATGGCTTTGACAGGTACACTGTGTCTCCAGGCTCCTCCTCTCTGGCTCTTCTGTTTTCTGGCCACTAATGGGCAAGCATTTTTCCCTGATACCTGTTATGTTAGCCATAATGTCTCAGCACAGGCCTGTAACAACAGAGCCAGTAAACCATAGCCTAAAAGCACTGAAACAAAAACTTTGCTTATTTAAGCTGATTATCTCAGATATTTTGTTAGAGCATTGAAAACAAGACACTTGAGACCCCCACCCCAAAGTCATTCCATTACAAAGTCTGTTATAGCACTGTATGTCGACATCCTTCCTGTCACTTATGCCATACATCTAAAAATTCTTATGTAAGACTGACAGCATTCTTTCCCTTTATTAATAGAAGCTCATTATTCACAGTATCCTTTAGGAGTCCTTTATGTGCAGTAAGTGTCAATATGAGTTATTTGGGAATTTAAACCACCATTCCCTACTAAAGGGGTCAGAGACTCTCCAGTATATCTTACAATATCATACAAATCTGAATGCTTTCTGCATTTTTAAAAGTGACCTTCCAGAGGAAGTAGGTGGTTCTCATATTTTGATTATCTGAAAAGAGTTCTCTATGCACATTAAAAAAAAATTTCAGGTAGGTTGTGTAAAAACAAAAAGTACTACCATGACTGTTATCACCAAGTTCCTGCTGTTGTCCCTCACCCTGAGTGGATAATAGAAAGTGGTTACTAGAGACAAACAGAATAGCGCTCTGTAGAAAAGAAAGGCACCTCTCAGGACTAAGACAAGGTGAAAACCAGCCCAAGGCAAGCATAAGGAAAGAAATGCCTCTATTCACTCCATCCTGGATTGAAACTCCAAACTCCTAGAGTTGTCTAGTAGTAAAACCCAGAGAGCAAAGATGCCTGCCTGGTTAACTGGACCCTGCAAGACAGCACCCAAGCATGAAGCCAGGATAAGAGTGGACAGTAGACCTGGATGGGTCTACAGCAGGGCTGCTGCACAGCCACTTTCCAGCCTGACTGATGATCAAAGCATTTGCTGTAGTGTGCCACAGTATTCAGTCCTGCAGAGACACTCATGACTGACAGACACAGGAGGCACAGGGATTTGCAAGTTGCAGGGCTGAAGCATGAATTAAAAAAAATGAGAAGAAGCCCCTTGGCTTTTCTGTGGCAAAGAGCTGGGCACTTGGGTTTATATTGCAGGGCAACATCTGTCTGACAGACCCACAGCAGCAACAGATTTTGGAGACAAACTTTTCTCAGACAAGATCAAGTGAAGCGAAATAAGAAAATATTTTCAGTGGGGGGCCAAATAACCATCTTTAGTTTGAAAATATTCATATTGAACAAAATTTTGCTGATTATAAATCAAAAAACCTTGGCAAGAAACAAATCACAACAGTTCCTGCTTTTTCTTTTGCAGCCATATTATGATTTTATCCAAATTCTTATCCATCCATCGAATGTTTTCTTCAATGGTCTCAATGGTTTGTTGAACGCAACGGAGCTGAGAACCATTTTCTTTCAAGGAGCTGAAGAATTCTTTTACCTTGGGAAGGAAAAGTGGGTTTTAAAAGGATTACTTTTGTTAATCAAGCAAATGGTAATATAGGGGCAGTTAAAGGAAGTAAAGCTATCATGCAAGCATTTGCTAACATTCTATAAGGAAGGAAGTCCCAGGTACCAGGATATGATTATATATAACTTAAGTGTGAGGTACACAAAATGAGCTCATGCCCCATGAGGTCAGGTTCAAATTTTTGCCTGTAGCTTTTATTTATTCACAGTTGCTAGACTTTAAAAGGCTTTGCTGATTACCGGTTGATAACTAAGGTTTAGTTGAGTGTATCTATTTAATATGGATTCCATTATATCACATTTATGTTTCTAAATGATGCCTGAAAAGCAGAAACTGCAGAGCATCTTCCTTACAGAGGAAAACAGAATCAACCACGTAAATGCAGTCTTTCCCTTGGACCTGGCCTTGTGTATTCTAACTGCCAACATTGTAAGGTATGGAGCTCTTAGCAAGTTATCTCAAACTTAGCAAATATATTTATCCCAATCCACAATTCCTGCTTCATTCCTACAGCTTCCCACAGTTCCAGAGAGAAAAGAGACCTACAGCACTCTCCTCAGAATATGTCTTTGTTCTTGTTGCATTCCTAGGTGTCTGAAACCTTAAGCTCCAATGATGGATAGGCTGCCTTTGCCAAAGCAGTGAAAATTGTACTATTTCCTTTCACTTTCAAGAGTTCTTAACATTAGAAATGTCCACAGCATTAACCCATTTTGTTTTTTGTTTTGTTTTTGTAGTCAGGAAGCAAGAGTAGGCTAAGATGTACTACTTATTTAGCATGAATTCTAGACAGATAATTCCTCAAAAATCTACATCATGACACCACAAATACTGGAATATTGGGTGGGGACAAGACTGAGTGTTAAGGAAGACCAAGTTCCAGTGAAAAATGAGGCAGAGTTGCTCTATTTGAGAGTCCAGTTGCCTCTTGCTGGGGAAAAGAGTAGACATGCTCTCCTCCCTGCCCCACGCTGTGCTTCCACTCATTATATTGCTGCAGGACCCAAGACCTTGACTAAAGCTCACTTTGGGCACTCTTCAACAATAAGACATCAGTATTTTCACGTCACTTATTGGCTAAAATATTTAACTTATCTTTAAGGAGTCCACTATGGCATCATGCTGAAATGTGGACTTCTATACAAGCTCTAGCAAAGCCAGTTCTCAACACTTCTACTGACCCTAGACTGTGTCTTTTGCCACAGAGACACAGCTGAATACCCAACTCAGATGTGCCTCTCTAAGAACTCTGCAGCAGGCTGTTTAGAGGAGTGAGAAGAAGTCTGTTTTGAAGAATATATGGATGTCTTGTGTTCCCTCTTATCAGTTTCATACCAATTTCTTATTTTTGCCTGAGCATTAGGAAGTTCTGTGATAACTGTTAAACATCATTGCAATAAGTATCTTCCATGTAGTTCCCTCATATAATTATCTCCTATCTTCTATGCAACCTTTCATTTGTTAACATTTATTTTAATTAATTTATTATTTATTACAATTTATTCACTTTGAATCCCAACTATACCTCCCTCCCTCATCTCCTCCCAGTCCCACCCTCCCACCTTCTCCCCCTATGCTTCTCCCCTAGTTCACTGATAGGGGATGTCCTCTTCCCCTTCCATCTGACCCTGGTCTCATTAGGACTGGTTGCATAGTCTTCCTCTGTAGCCTGGCAAGGCTGTACCCCCCCCCAGGGGGAGGTGATCAAAGAGCTGGCCACTGAGTTCATTTCAGAGACAACCCCAGCCCCCCTTACT